CCGCCTCTCAGTTTGGGCTCCTTTCCCTGTTTTGCAATTTGGGGTACTGAGTTTGAGGAGAGCAGCTGGAATGCAGAAGGTCCCCTGGAGGGAGAGCCCCACCTAGAGTCGAGATCACCAGCTAGGAAGTCAGAAAAATGCTTAGTGAGTTCTTGACCCTGCCACTCAATTGAGCTGCTCTTCAGAGTTCACTGACCACCCACAGAGTGATGGCAAAGGAATGCGGAGGGCTTCTAGGAGGAGGCGGCAGGAAGTGGGTATGGTATTCATGAAAAGGAAAGAGCACTGGGAGCAGACTTGAATGAGGATGAAGACAGAACTCCAGGAGGTGTGGTGAGATGCTTGGGTCTCATCTGGTACGTGGTCCAGGCCTATATCACATACCAGGGCAGAGGAAGGTACTACACAGCCAACGGAAGTCCCACCAGCACCCACCACCTGCCAGGAGAGAGGGTCCTGCTCCAGCTCCCAGACCCTTGCCCAGCCTCCCAGCACCCTGCATCAGTCCAGACGACTCGTCCCTATCCTATCCCAAGTCGGGACATCCTGGCCCCAGAGTTCCCGGCTCCCTCAGCTCTCAGTGATGCCCAGAAAGACTCTTCTGACTGTAATTCCCTGGAGTCAAGATCTAAAACTCGAGGCCAAAGTGCTAGTTTAGTGATAAGGTACTTGCCTTGCATAGCCAACCCGGGTTCAATTCCTGGCTTCCCACGTGGTCTTCTGAGCATTTCCAGGAGTAATTCCTGAGTGCAGAGCCAGGAGTGACCCCTGAGCACCGCCAAGTGTGGCCCCAAACAAACAAAAGAAAACTGAAGATGTAAAACTTGCTCCCTGTGTAGAGCTGATTCACTGGTGAAGAGAAAATTCACCCATTATTCTCAGCAAAGGAGAGACACCTGTATGGCTCCCAGGCAGAATCTGACTTAATTTCCCCAGTGAGAAGGGAAGCTGGAGCCAAACTGAAACCAGAAGCTTGGGGGCTGTGTCTGAGCCCTGCCTGCAAGCCACCCATTTGTACAAAATCCAAACACATTTTCGTTGCTTTGTGATGAGGTACTGCGTGCCTTCGTCTCTGAAGCCAGGTCTCCATCTGAGCTGCTCTGTGGCTTCGATCCAGTTCCTTAGCTCGTTCTGTGTCTCTGGGCTCACTCCTGACTCTGAGCTCAGGAACTACCTCTGGCTGGGCTCAGGGGACCATATGTGGTGCTGGGATCAAAGTGGGTCAGCTGCATGCAAGACCAGAGCCTTCCTCGCTAACTCTCTCTGGCTTCTAATTCCTTTTTTTCATTTACCTTTTTTTATGCAGGTAGGTATTTTCATTCCCATTTTCCTGGTGAGACCCTGTGAGGGCCGTGTCCAATTCCCTCACACAGTAGGTGCCTCTGGAGGGCCTTTGCCCTGATCCCCTTCACGGCTCTGGACCAGGGAGACCTCTGGTTTGGTAGTTTTCTCCTGAAAGGTCAGAGGCTGACTTGGAGGCAAACAGTGAGTCCCCAGGGATGGAGAGAATGTGCAGCCAAAGTGATGAGGGATGAAGAGTAAGGAATCGCCTTCTAACCCCCGCCCTCAAGTCAGACAGAGGGAAAACCCAGTCCTAATGAGTGAGCACAGGTGAGCACAGAAACCTTGGTCACCCCCATCTCTGGCTGGATGTGCCCTGCATGCATGTGCTCTGCATGTGGGAGTCGGTGTCATCTGTGGCACCACATGGTCCCCGAGCACTGCCAGGAGTATGTCCAGAGCACCTAATGGAAGTAAGTCAACTTTGAGCACTACTGGGTGTGACCCCCAAACAAACAAAACCCTCTATCGCTGTAGCGTCCCTGGTAGAAACCAGTTTCTCCTCACCTTGCTGCATCACAGTGGTGACCAGCCTGAGATGCACCCTGCTGTGGGGAAGTTTAGGAGGTTGTACAGGAGGGCGTCTCGCCCGCACGGCAGAGCCTGGCAAGCCACCCGTGACGTATTCGATATGCCAGACACAGTAACAACAAAATCTCCAATGGAGACGTTACTGGGCCCGCTCGAGCAAATTGATGAACAACGGGAGGGCCTTTACCTTTTACAGGAGGGCAGAAAGATCATCCCATAAACCCAGGACATCAACAGGTGGGAAGAACGTTGGTGGGCGCCCCCTTGGGGTCCTTCTAGGAACTACATCCTCATGGCCCCTTATGTTCTCCCACCCCTTGTGCAGAGGAAAGGAGATGGGGTGAGGGTGGGGGAGGTCCTCCCTGGGGCCTTAGTTCAGAACTGAACTGGCTACTCTGCACGTATAATTACCCAAGTCTTCTCCAATGTGGGGGATTTCCAGTATATGAGTATGGAAACCGAAGTGGCAAAACAAGGTAGGTGGCGAAGGGTCCTGGACTAGGGTTGCCACGCTGCCATATGCATGGGGAGTCACCATTGGGGATCAACAAGAAGCAACGCAGAGAGAGGACATAACACGGAGGCGGGGGCTGAGCCTTTGGGCCTCTGGGACGGACGAGGGAGGAACGGGGAGAAGGACCCCCTTGAGCAGGGTTTTCTCCCTTTTTCCCTGAACTGACCTCACTGAGACGAGGTCTGAGTGACCAGGCTGGATGTGCCCTGCATGCATGTGCTCTGTATGTGGGAGTCGGTGTCACCTGTGGCACCACATGGTCCCCGAGCACCGGGAACTGCACACTGATGAAGGGACAGGCGTTGTAACATATATGACTGAAACCCATTCATGAACAACTTTGTAACTGTGTGTATCACTATGATTCAATTTAAAAAATTTTTAAAAAATAAAAAAAGTTAGCCTCTGATAAAAGAGTTTGCCCAATAGAGAAACAGCAGAAGTTATACTTCAAATACATTGGTTGGTTTGGGCTTAGAGGTCACACCCAGCGGTGCTCACGGATCACTCTTGGTGGTACTCAGAGGACCATTTGCGTGCTGGGGATCAAACCTGATAAGGCAAGCACCTTACCCCCCTCAACTATCTCTCCAGCCCCCTTAAAGTATATTTTAAGAGAACTATTAAAGCACATCTATCAAATGCCAAATTGTATTTCAATTCATAATTGCTTGTTTCTAAGTGCTGATATGCTACAGTTAGGCGAGTTATCGATGCCAAATAATAAATTTGCACTCAAATTATTTGTAATTCAAACTTCATTAACTTTATTGGTGTGGTTTATTGACTGCATTTAACTTGACACGAGCAGAGCTCTGGACTTGAATAATATTTTAAGAAAGTATCTGCTCTTATGTTTTGTGGCTAAACACTTTTTTAGGTAGTAAAATCTACAATTAATTTCCCTGAGTTTATGGGCCGGAGTGATAGCATAGCGGGCAGGGCGTTTGCCTTGCACGCAGCCAACATGGCCTACCCGAGTTTGATTCCTCCGCACCCCTCGGAAAGGGGCGGCAAGCTACCGAGAGTATCTCGCCTGCACGGCAAAGTCTGGCAAGCTACCCGTGACGTATGTAAAATGCCAAACACAGTAACAACAAAGTCTCACACTGGAAACGTTACTGGGCCCACTTGAGAAAATCGATGAACGGGAGGACAGTGACAGTGACTGATACCTCGAGTTTAGGTGATCTATGTTCAGAGTCAAGTGAAAAGGAAGAACAAACGGACACCTCTAAGGATAAGTTTATTTGGTTCTTTGAAAGAAAAAAAAATAACAGCAAGGTGATTGTTTATCTGCTCTAATTCTCTTTTGGAAAATATGACCCATACACAGACACAAAGATTTATTCAACAGCAATAAACACCCAAGCAAAGAGGTGTGTGTACTTGTCATCTGCCTCTGGAAAAGAGAGCAGTTCTTCAACTACAAGTCTGGTCTTGCCCTACGCAGAGCAGGTTGCAGGACTATTAGCCTCCCCTGGAAATCCCCTCACTTAAGGCAGATGCCTGAGGACACTGCTAGCGCAAACTTCAGGGGAAAATACCTCCCCTCTTGGCAATTCCTTGTGAGTATGATTCTGCAAAGTGAATCTGTTTCTCGGCAAGCTCGATAAGTAAACTTGTCCCTAGAATTCAGCCCTGCATTCTAAAACCATCTAGATGTAGATCCGCGTTTTGTTTTTCTCTGAATTTGCAACAGGAAAGCGTGAGCAGCTGGTAGTCTCAGAAAGGACCCTCGTCCGTAGTCTTTTCTTTTTTAACTCAAGGTACAAGTGAAAGTCACAAGGCGCTTCAAAAGCCGGTCTCTGCCCCCGAACATCCTGCTCCTGACTTTGCCAGGCGTTCCGCAACGAATCCGGGGCTCCCGCTTGCCTCGCCGGGCCTGGCGCCGGGCAGCTTGTGCTCCTCTGACCGAGTCGCGTCTTCTCTCCCCAGACTCCGGGACAGTAACAAGCAGAACAACAAAGTCTCACACCGGCCGCAGCCAGCCGAGTCGCGCCCAGACGCGCTTCCACGGGAGCGGGCGGCCCCGCCTGCCGTTCTGTTCCCCTCCCCTCGCCACCGGGCCGCCGCGGACCAAGATGCGGGGTAGCCTCCGCGCCAGGGGCCGCTTTCGCGAATCAAGAGCGACCACGTGGTCCGACGGAGGCCGCGGGGCGGGGCGGGGCGGGCGATCGGACGTCCCACGGCCCGAATCCCACCGTCCGCCGCCCCGGCGAACGCCCGCGGCGGCCACTGGCGCCCAGGCCGGGAGACGGCCGGGCGGGGCTTTTTCTCTTTCACCGCCCCGTTCCACTCTCAGCTCTCAGGCCCCTGCACGCCCCAGCCAGAAGGCAGGAAGCGGTCGACTTCGCCAAGGGGCCCGGCCCCCAGCGCCCGGGCGCCCCCGGGAAGGGCCCGCGGCGGCTCCTCGGGAGGGGACTGAGCCTGACGAGGCCGCAGGGCCGCGAGGCCCCGCCCCCCCCGCCTTCCCGGCAGGCCCCGCGCGCCCGCGCCGCGCCGCCGGAGCGGGGCGGGGAGCGGGGCCCGGAAGGGGCGGGGCGAGCGCGAGAAGGACGTCGTTTTGCGACGGGCCGTGCGCCGCGGAGGCGGAAGTGGAGGGCGCGCTTGGCGGCGGCGGCGGGAGCTGCGGAGTCGGGAATCAAAACAAAGGGCCGGGGGGCGGGGGGCAGGCGGCGGGGCCGGAATGTGAGCCGCGGTGGGGCCGGTGGCCGAGGTGAGTGGGCGGCAGCGCGGGCGGCCTGCTCGGGGGAGGGCTGTCCCGGGTGCCGCGGGGGTCACCCGGACCCCGGCCGCCGCCGCTCCGCCGAGGGTGGCCTCGCGGAGACGGTGCCCGGGCCCCGCCGGCCCCCGGGGGCCGTCCGGGCTGTGGCTGCTGCGCGCGGCTCCCGGGCCCCGGAGGCGGCCTCCGGGCGTGGACGGCGAACACCTGGGAGCCCGGGGCTCTTGCACGGCTGGGGCTCGGCGGCGGGGTGGGGGTTTGCCGCGCATCCTCCTGGCGGCACCCCCCGGGGAGGCCCTCGGGCGTCCCCGGGCTTGAGCCTGACCCCCTCCTGATGACGCCTTGGGGGTTGCCGGGGCCTCTTCCCCCGTTCCCGACACGCGCGTGCACCCCCGGCACACACATCCCACTTGATAACACCTTGGGAGGTTGCCCGGACCCCCCCCCCCCACCCCACATACACACCCGCCTTCCCCGCGCATCTTCCCCCACCCCCGACACACACACACACACACACACACACACACACACACACACACGCCCTCCTGATGACACCTTGGGAGGTTGCCGGGGCCTCTTCCCCCACTCCCGACACACGTGCGTGCACACCCCCCCCACACACACACATCCCTCTTGATAACACCTTGGGAGGTTGCCCGGACCCCCCCCACCCCACATACACACCCGCCTTCCCCGCGCATCTTCCCCCACGCCCGACACACACACACACACACACACACACACGCGCGCGCGCTGGAGCTGCCCAGCTTCAGGGATATTTCTTAGTCTCACGCACAGGTCTGAGAGGATAAGGATTGTCCTGTCCCCGCCCCCCAGTAAAGTGGGAGGAATCCGGATGGTCGTCCTAGATGGGTGTTTTTTGGTTTTTTTTTTTTTTTTTTGAGCTCCTGGTTCGCTCAGCAGCCAGGGGTAGGGGGGAGGCGTCTTGGAGTTGTTGACCATCAAGCGGGAAAAACCGGCTTCTTGGGAGGCAAGGAGAAGCAGGACCCCGGTAGTGAGAGCAGCTCTTTTTTTCTTGGTTTGTTTGAGAGGGGTGGGGTCCAAACCCGGCAGTACTCAGGGCTGACTCTGTGCTCAGCGATTTTACTCCTGACAGTGCTCAGGAGACCAGATGAGGCACCGGGGATTGAACCCAGGTGGGCCGGGTGCAAGGCAAGCCCCCTGCCCACCCTATATTGTCTTCTCTACTCCCCTCTGGTAGAGAAGCTTCTTTTGTTTAAACAAAGCGAATGGAACAGGATGTGCTTGAGGAGGAAGACTAGAAGTGGAGTGAGGAAAAGGTTACTTCTAAGTGTTACAGGTCCCCTTGAGTCCAAAGAACAGGGCCTAGGAAATTGTTACTTCTAAGTGTTACAGGTCCCCTTGAGTCCAAAGAACAGGGCCTAGGAAATTGTTACTTCTAAGTGTTACAGGTCCCCTTGAGTCCAAAGAACAGGGCCTAGGAAATTGTTACTGTGTTGCCCAGTCCTCATCTGGATTCGGGTCCAGAGGTCCTGAAGTTGTCCGAGAAGCTGCTGGCTAATTGGAGAGTTCTGCAGAAGTGTGATGGCAACTTTTATTGCTGTGAGGCGATTACAGCAACGTGGGGCATTTATCCACTGCCCCTGGACCTCTGTAGGGAGAGAAAGGGACACTCCCACTCAGGCCGGCTGGGCTGACCGCCTGCTACTTAGCCATATTCCAGGGAATGCCTGAAATGTTCTCAGGATGCTGGGTGCTTCTGGCCAGAAAGTTTGCACTTTCTGTTGCCATTATGACAAGGGGGTTCCCGTCTCCCCCCTGGTGTGGGGGGAAGAGAGGACTCATCTGACCTGCCTTCTTGCTAATTGTGTTAGGCAAGTTGCAGGATTCTTTGTTCCCCTCCCCCCAGTGTAAGATTTACTGAGGGAAAAAAAATTACATAAATATGTCCCTCATTTTCCCCTTAAGTTTGTACCCTTTTTTGCCAAGCACATGTTAGATGGTTACATGGTAGAAAATGAGTAAATATTTGCTGTCACTGTCTCTGTCAGTTCCTCTGTCAGTTGTTCATCGATTTGCTCAGCGGGCCCAGTCTCCATTGTGAGACTTGTTGTTACTATGTTTGGCATATTGAATACGTCTCGCCAGGCTTTGCCGTGAGGGCCCGATACTCAGGGCACGATACTCCGGTAGCTTGCCGGGCTCTCCGAGAGGGGCGGAGGAATCGAACCCAGCTCGGCCAGGTCGGCTGTGTGCAAGGTGCTTACCACTGTGCTATCACACCAGTGATAGTATTTCATTCATACAAATGAAATCGTATTTGAAATAAATTTCATTATCAAAATGTTTGGCCTGTTTGACATGCATTTTGTAGCTTGCTAAACTTTGTTTTAAATAATTTATCTTTATTTTTCTCATTTATTTATGTATTTTTGGGGGGCTACACTTGCTGGTGCTCAGTGGACCATATGTGGTGTCAGGAATCAAACCCAGGCCAACCTTGGGGAAAGCAAATGTACTTCCTGCACTCTGGTCCCTTATCAATTTCTCTACTCAACAGTTATTTGACTAATAGCTTGATATTTTTTATTTCAATATTTGCTGGAGGAGGAAATAAAGAATTATTCAATAAAAGCCCTCATAAACGTTCTGTGCACCACTTTGGCTCACTTTCAACAGTGGCCTGGAAAAGGCTTGAGGTGGCACCGCGGAGCTGTGTCTGTTTCAGAGACATAAACTCTAGGAGCGGGAGAGATTTCGGAGGACATGAGATCTGCGCTTTGTAGGAAAGAGGAGTACCGTACTTTCCTGGCACGGGGGCAGGGTGCACTCCCTGTTTCCACAAGTCCCAACCGTCCAGCCAGGAAGCCGCTGTTTACTCTGCTTCTCCTTCAGGAGTATTTGTTTAGTGTCAGTAGGAGGGTCCTGTGCTTGGTGTAGATGATGGAAGAGTAGAAGAGTAAAATGGCCCTGTGGGCTTCCTTTATTCGGTGTCTTGGGGGCAGTAGGTTGCCTTGCTCCCAGCTTGAAGGCTATGATTAGCCAGTCTGCACAAAAGGAAATAGAGACTTAGTGTAATTTTGTAGCTTTGATGCACTGGCAAAGAGTAAAGTAGTTCCCCTCAGTTGCTGGTGTATACTATTTCCATTGCAAATATCGGCTACCCTGTTCCAATGCGGAAAGGAGATGCCTCTGGCACCAGGGGACAGCCCTACCGTGTGCTGGGGCCTGAGTTTGATCCCTGGCACCGTGTGGCCCTGCTGCATTGAACTGTCCATCTTGGTTAGCCAAGCATCAGTAGTGTAGACCCCAGACCACCTGACTATTGCTGGGGGGGGCGCGTCCCAACCAAAGCAACAACAAAATCATTAGTAATAATGTAAGTAGACATGGGAAGAACTTCCTGTGTTTTGCTGTGTCTCAGTAAAGCTATTTATGGACATTCAAGTTTTGAGCATATTTCAAATTTAAAACCCCTTAATTTTAAATAATCTGGTGGGAGTACACTCAGCTGTGCTCAGGGCTTACTCTTGGCTCTGGGCTCAGGGGTCACTCCTGGCTACGTTTGGGGGCCAGCATGGGGGGCTGGGCGTCAGGCCTGGGTTGGCCATGTGCAGGGCAAGCGCCTTACCCCCCTGCACTACCCCTCTGACCCTTAAATGAATGTATTTTAAAGAAAGGAGGTTGGCTACCGCCTCCCCTCTTCTCTCTGCCGAGCAGGTTGCTCTTAAATAAATTTTAGAATCATATGTCACTGGTCATGAGGGCATGGCAGGTTTATTTTTTTCTAAAAGTATGTGTCTTTTGCAAATAGTTTGACTAAACAAGTACAGTCTTGCTAAGTGAAGCTCCGGCCACATAAAAAGAAGATTTACTCAGAGACACACAGATGGTGTCCCACTCATCTGCCTCTGGGCCCCAGATGATAGAGTTTTGAAAATCTGGTTGAAACAAGAGTTCAGAGATAAAGAGTCCAAGTTGGCCTGTGTGTGTGTATTTAATAACTTGTAATATACTTCACAGCCATTCCACTTTTGGGAAGCGGAGAGGTTGAGCTATACCCAGTGGTGCTTAGTGCTCAGGGACTATTCCTGGCTGTGTAATCAGGAGTGACCCCTTGTGGCGCCAGGGATAGACTAGGGTTGGATGAATGGAAGGCAGGTGTCTTAGCCACTCTGCTGTCTGTGGCTCTGTGGCGATCTGAATTGTTTGGGGGCCACGTGAGGGGGAGCTCAGTACTCCCAGCTCTGTGCCCAGGGTGACTCCTGGAGGTGCTTTGAAGACCTAGTGTGGAGGGTTCAAAGCTGCATCCGTGTCACATAGGGCAAGTGCCTTAACCCCTGTTCTGCCCCCTCAGGCTCTATGCCGTGTCAGAGAACAATACCTGGTGGTGCCCTGGGCTCACTCCTGTCTGTGCTGAGAGATCACTACTGGTAGGGCTCAGGTCCATATGGGATGCCGGGGATCGAACCCAGGCCAGCCACATGCAAAGCAGGGGCCCCACCCACTGTACTAGCACTCCCTCCAGCCTCACCATTCCATTCTTGCTATTGGAGATCAAACTTCTCAGACTCCTCTGCACTGTATATACAGCCTCATGCTTTAATAACGGCAGATTTCTACAGATGCCAATAACATCGAAATCCCCTTCTTCACAGGGAGGAAGAATGAAAGAAAAGAAGGATGGAAGAATGTTGAACCGCTCTGTCTGGCTGTATGATGGAAGGGAACGCAGCTGAGAGTCCCTGCAGCAGAACACTTGGATGGCTTCGACAAGATAATGATGCTAAGCCGTGGCTTTGGAAATTCTCTAATTGCTTTTCTGGTCCTGAGCAGACATTGCCACTTAGTCCCCAAACGGTAATTAAGATTTTTAAAATTATGCTTAAAACTCACAGCAAAAATTTTTTTTTATTATTTTTTTTTCTATTGGGGTCATATGAACAGTGCTCAGGTCTTAACTCCTGGCTCTGCACTCGGATCACTCCTGCCAGTGCTCAGGGGACCAAATGGGTTGCCAGGGATTGAACCCGGGTCGGCAGTGTGCAAGGCAAACTCCCTACCTGCTGTACTATGCTCCAGTCCCTACAACAAAAAAATTTTTATTTTGTTTTGGGACCACAGCCAGCAGTGCTCAGGGCTTTTCTCCTTGCTCTGTGTTCAGGGACCATTCCTGGCTGGGTGTCAGGGGACCATATGGAGACCTGGGAGGGGACCTAGGTTGGCCGCATGCAAGGCAAGCGCCCTACCCGTTGTACTATAGCTCTGGCACAAAAACTATGCACAGTGGTAAGAGGCTGGAGGGACCAGGACACAGGTTCTGCCTGGAGTGCGGACCAGGGCCAAGTTCTCCTTGAAACCACACTGTTGCTGCTCTTTGTAACATTGTTGTATCCCTGACTCATTGAGGATGTAGATTTCTTTCCCTCCAGGCTTCATGCTCTTGTCACTGATCCAGCTAGAGGACATACATTTTTCTGTTAGTTATTTTGGCCACAGCTGGTTCCCTGGGCTCCAGGGTCAGCCACACCTCTTAGGCTCTCTGGACACTCTCTCTAACTTGAAAGTAACCTTTCGTTTATTTTTGGGTCACACCTGGCAGTGCTCAGGGCTTAACTCCTGGTTTTGCTCTCAGGGATCACTCCTGGCAGGGCTCAGGGAACCATACGGGGTTGTTGGGAATTAAACTCAGGTTGGCCATATGCAAGACAGGTACCTTATCTGCTGTACTAGCTCTCCAGCATGAAACATAAACTTAACGGTGGGTTTTTTGTTGTAGTTGTTTTTGGGTGTTTTGTTTTTGAGCCACACCCACTGGTGCTCAGGGCTTACTCCTGGCAGGACTGAGGGGCCGTATGGGGTGCGGGGGATCGAACCTGAGTCAGCTTTGTGCAAGTCAAGCGCCCTTCCCACTGTTCTATCTCTCCGGCCCCACTGATGACGTTCTGGTCTTAGATCATGGTTCCTCAGAGACCTTTTCCATAATGTTTGGCACCTTTTACTCCAGTAGATCTTACTGAAATACTTTATGGCCCGGCCGTAGGAATGATCAACTGTTTATTTGCCTTAAAATATTTTGTGTGTCACCTCTACTGACTGTTCTTTGTGGCTGTGTCATTTTTGTGCCGTCTGTCTTCGGAAGAGGCAAAGGGTAGGTGTGGAGACATACATGGTCATCCCCACAAGTGTTTTGAGTTGTCTGTTATTTTTTTGTTTTTGTGGTGGGGGCGTCACAGCTGGTGGTGGTGTTCCAGGGTAACTCCTGGTGGTGCTTGGGGTACCTTGTGGCGCCAGGAGTCAGGTTAACCGCATACATGGCAAAGTGCCTTCAACCGAGGACCACCTGGGATGCCGGGGATCAAACCCCGGTCCTCTGCATGCGAGGCAAGTGCCCTCCCTGTTGTGCTGTGTCTCAGCCCCCGGAGTTGCCTGTTAGACACCAACCTCCCACCCGTCTCTGCAGAATGCCCGTCGGTGGAGCTGTGCCTCCTTGCCGCGTCTGACCATCGGGCGATGACCGCGGCATACCTGAACTAGCTCACGGGTGTTGCACTTTTTCTTTGCCCAGGAAGATTACATGGAGAACAAGAAAGTCGCTGTGGCGCTCAAGGACGTCCCGTCTCCCCTTCGTGCTGGCGCCAAGCTCTTCCCAGCAGTCCCGCTTCCAGATATTCATTCTCTTCAACAACCTAAAGTCCAGCTGAGTGCGGTGCCCAGAGTAAGCTGCTGTGCCCATTGTGCCAGTGAACCCTCCACCTCGCCCCTGCGTTTTGGTGGTGGCGGTGGCAGTGGTGGTGGCGGCGGCGGCGGTGAAGGTTCCAGGGGCTTGGTTCACACAGGCAGCCTGCAGAGCACCAGGACGATCACGTGTCAGGTCGGGGCCGGCTCGGCTTTCCCGGCGGTGCCCCCGTTGCAGAGTGCCTCGGTGCAGAATGGTGGTGGCGGCAGTGGCGGCATCACGGGCGACGCGCCCAGCGTGTGCCTGGATGGCAGCCTGGCCTGCAAGCACCTGCCCTGCTGCGGGAAGCTCCACTTCCGGTCGTGCCCCGGCACGGCGCACAAGCTGTACCCGTTCCCGGCTCTGCAGGGCTGCACCTCGGCCGCCTATTTCCCTTGTTCCGATTTCACAAGTGGGGTGCCCGGGCGTTTGGAGGAGCACATCTCACCGTCAGAGCTCGCGCCTCACTTGTGCACCAGCTCCCTGCACCTTAACGTGGTCCCCCCGGTGTGTTTGAAGGGCTCCCTGTACTGCGAAGACTGTCTCAACAAGGTGGGTGTCTGTCTGCCCCTCCGCCCCCGCAGCTGCTGAGGTTGGAGGGAGAATTTTGTTTTGTTCTGTTTAGGACCATTGGGGTCCAGCTGGGGTCGGAGCTCAGTGGCCAGAGCCCAGCTCCGCAGGCCATGGGTCACCGTGGGCTGGATCCTGGCTCCAGGCTTTAAGAAAGTGGATGTGCTTCGGGAAAGTTTCTCCTGGGCACGGGGATGGAGGTTTGCCTGTGAGCAGTTTTCTCTCCCTCCACCCCCAAATTCTCCCCAGAGTTTTCAGCCTAAATCCTGCTGGTCCTAAAAGCAGCGAAGGGAAGAATAGGCAGGGACTGTGTTCTGGTATGTAGTTGGTAACTCTCAGGGCTACCCCCCCCCCCCAAACACACATACACACCCCGACACCCCGGTGGTGGTCAGGAACCTGTTTCAGTTACACACACACACACACACACGACACATGGACACATATACACACACACCCCAGTGGTCAGGAATCTGTTTCTCACAGATACCAAACTCGGGGGGGTTGTTTTGTCTGCAGAGGTTAGAGAACAGTTGTGAGTCCCTGTCTCCAGCATGCAGCTACGGTGTAGGTCCTTGTGTGTTGTTCTTGTGCAGCCATCTGGGGACCTTGAAGGTGGCCTCAGTGATCAGCGTGTCCAAGGGCTGTGTCCAGAGAGCCCCCTCTTGAAACTGGCACAGCCTCCGACTCTCTGTCCTTTTGGGCTGTGGACTCTGTCTGCCCCGTCTCCTCAAGTCACAGCTTGAAGTGGGATTGTGAGTCAAAAGCAACTGGCCCCAGGAGAGAGGATTTGGGGGGGAAGCCCACCTTCTCAGAGTTAGCTGCTGGAGAGGGAAAAGTTAGGTTGTGTTTTCAGCAGGTGTCTGTATGACTTTAGGTTCTGAAATGATGTCTGAAATCACCTCCTTGTCTTACATTTTTTTTAAACAGCCGGCAAGAAATAATATCATCGATGCTGCTAAAGTGTGGCCAAATATACCACCTCCAAGCACTCAGACGGCACCTGTTCCTCTGTGCAATGGCTGTGGAACCAAGGGGGCCGGCAAAGAAACGGCGTTGCTCTTGGCAACCAGTCTAGGCAAAGCTGCTTCAAAATTCGGTAAGTGGCAGCACGTATGGTATAACGTGTTTGGGTTTCAGCCCTCCGCCCTCTGATACCAACACACCCTTTAGTCACCACTAAAGGAACCCGCGAGAGTCTAAAAGCGTGTGTGGGTATGCATCTCTGTCTTTGGTAAATGTTCTCATTTTCTCAGACTAGTAAGTCAGTGGCCCTTTGTGATGAACTGAGGCTCTTTTTGTTGTGGTGGGGTGGGTTTTCTTTCCCCTTTTGGTCTTTTTGGGTCACACCCGGAACTGCTCAGAGTTACTCCTGTCTCTGCACTCAGGAATTACTCCTGGTGGTGCTCAGGCAACCATAAGGCATGCCAGGAATCGAACCCGGCTTGGCTGCCTGCAAGACAAACACTCTCCCCGCTGTCCTATTGCTCCAGCCCTCAGCTTGTTTTTCACAGAGTTTTCTGTGGGCTCAAAGTCCTTCGCCTCTTGGGTCTGTTTTCCCCGGAAAACTCGGGCATCGCGGGCTCGCTTGTGTTCTCGGAACAGCTGGGGAGGTTGGGCCCCTTATGCTAAGCATCCCTCGATGGTTCTGTTTTTCCACCCTGTGACGAGTCGTTCGTAGCTCTGCCTGTGACATTACTGCAGCTCATTACCTTGTCTTCATCATGACATGCAATTGAAAGTGTTCCCCTTGCTCCAGGGTCACCGGAAGTGGCACTTGCCGGACAGGTGCTAGAAAACTTGCCCCCTATTGGCGTTTTCTGGGATATTGAGAACTGCTCAGTCCCCACTGGCCGCTCGGCTACGGCGGTTGTGCAGAGGATCCGTGAGAAGTGTTTCAGAGGCCACAGAGAGGCCGAATTCATCTGTGTGTGCGACATCAGTAAAGAGAACAAAGAAGTGATTCAGGAACTGAACAACTGTCAGGTAACAAAGGAGAGCTCAGTCAGCTGGGATGGAAAAGGCAACGTGTTTCAGTTAGAACTATGTTTAATAAAGCACGTTTGTGTTACGTTAGCAAATAATATGGCAGTATGATAATTTCTGAAATGCTAGAAATGATTCACTCACTCTTGACCTAACAGTGAAACTACTTCTGTCCGTGTGATGGATGACGGTTGCAAAAGAGTGTTTCCTTTGGTTTTCAAAGCTGAACCAGGCTCATTGGATTTATTTGAAATTTGCAAATAAAACTGAGTCCCTTGAAGTTAAGCAACTTTTTGTTTGTTTACTGGGGTTTTGGGGCTGCACCTGGCAGTGCTCCTGGCTTGTTCCTGGCTCTGTGCTCAGGAATCACTGCTGGTGGCTTGGGAGACCATATGTCGTGCTGGAGGTTAAATACGTACAAGGCAGATGCTTCATTAGCAGTTCTTTCTTTGGGCCCCATTGAGTGAATTTTAATAGGGGGGCATGCTTGGCGGTGCTTAGGGCTTCCTCCTGGCTCTAGCGGGACCACTCCTGGTGGTCCTCAGGGAACCAGATGGGGTGCCAGGGATTGAGCTGGAGTCAGCCGCATGTAAGGCAAGTGTGCCTTCACCCCTGTACTGTCTCTCCACCCCCAAAAATCCCATTTTTATGACTCAGGCAAGTCGTCCCGTTATTCACCCTGTTGTTTAAAATTGTATGTTTATGTTCTGTACAAAAAGAAATCTTTTTTATGTTGCTTGAAGTTGAGGCATCTCTCAGAAACCTTTTCCTGACTTTGAAGATTGTTCTTAGTGGGCCAGGGTTATAGTACAGCAGGTAGGACACTTAGCCTTGCACTTGGCCCAACCGGGTTTTGATCCCCAGCATCCCATATAGTCCCCACGCACTGCCAGGAGTGAACCTTGAGCGCAGTCAGGAGTGATCCCTGGGCACTGCTGGATGGGGCCCCAAAACCTTCCCCCCACAAAAAAGCCAGGTTATTGATGTTCCTGATTGGTTTATTAAAGACACCAACATTATTTTAGTGCCCTTAAAGATAAATACCTCTTCTCTCCTTGTCACAGACCACAGATACCTGACATCAAATACCCCAAATCATTACTCATTCATCAAATCCCTGCCACCCCCAGCTGGTGTGCAAAAGTTACTTCATTACTTTATATTTCTCCTCCCTTTTTTCTTTTTTCCTTTTTCTGAAAATGAGGACATAGATGGAGTGCAGAAGCCAAAGGTTGGAAATAAGCCCAGCTGGAATTATGGACTCAGTTCACTCATATGGAGAATCTGTGTTCAAATTACTGAGAGCTGGTTGCAAACTTTTTTCTGTTTTGGCCCATTCCTGAGTGACAATAATGATACTAGACACCTTTCCCCCTCCGGGACTGTCTGTTTGGGTATGGGGAGAATGCCTAGTGCTCTTCTCGTGTGCTCATGCCCTGCACGTTCGGCGTCTTGTGAATCCATGTAGGTGACCGTTGCTCATATCAACGCCACAGCAAAGAACGCGGCCGATGACAAACTGCGCCAGAGTCTACGAAGGTTCGCGAATACACACGCTGCTCCGGCCACCGTGGTCCTTGTGTCAAGTGAGTGCGGCGGCCTCACTGCAGGGGGTTCTAGAGGCCAGACACAACCGTGTCCTAGTAAAACGCGCCTCCAGAGAGGTTGAAGGATGTGGGGCACCATGATGTGCTTTTGTGCATGTGTGTGGGGGTCGGGGGCGAGCTACAAGGACTCGGACCCAGGGCCTCACACCTGTGGGCAAGAGCCTGTTGCCACATCCCCAGCCCTTGGTCCCTAAGGGTTTCGTTTACCACCCTCCTGGAGACAACAGTCTTGGTAAACTTTCATTTCCGCCTGCTCGGAACACTCAGTGTTTTCTCCATCAAGGGTTTACAAATGGTGAGGATTCCCCCCTCACAGATGCATGTGATGATCGCTCTCGCTGTTCTGTCCCTCCCTCCTTTTTATTTCACAGTTCTGGGGGGCGGACCCCAAACAGGGCCAGGGGCCCCACACCACACCACGTCGCGGCCCTCAGATTCGCCCACGGGTTTCGGGATTTGATTTTTCTGAACCGTCACGGGAAAGGGTTGGGGCTCGAGAGGTTTCTGTGTTTCTTTGTCGAATGTGAGCAGGATTCTTTGTTTCGCCTGCTCGCTTGCTGGTTGGTGTTGACATGGGGCTTCACCAACCAAATGCTTACTCCCGCTGAGCATGCAGCAGTCGCTCCTGGCTGGCAGTGCTTGGGGCACCATGTGGGATGTGGGGGTTGAACTGGGGATCGAACTGGTTGGCCATGGGCAAGTCTGTACTGTATCTGGTCTTTTCTTTTTTTGTTGTTTTTTGTTTTGGTGGTCACACCTGACAGTGCTCAGGGCTTCTCCTGATTCTGTGTTTCGGAATCACGCCTGGCGGGCTTGTGGGGCTTGGGGTTCTGCAGAGAGGAGGGAGGGAGCAGCTTTTCCTCCCCCTCGGTGGGTGTCCGGCGAGGCCACTGCCTTGGCCCAGCGCGCCTAATGTTTGGGGCTGGGGGCGGGCTGTGCCTTTCCTTCCAGCTGATGTGAACTTCGCGTTGGAGCTCAGTGACTTGAGACACAGGCATGGCTTCCATATCATCTTGGTCCACAAAAACCAGGCCTCGGAGGCTCTGCTGCACCACGCCCATGAGCTGATCCGGTTCGAAGAGTTCGTCTCTGACCTGCCCCCCAGGCTACCGCTGAAAGTGCCGGTGAGTGGGGGGCCTCCTCTTTGCTGTCCCCCAGAGCCCAGGCAGCCCCTGGGAAGCGAAGTGGCTGAAGTGACCTTGTATGATCCTCTGATGCCCCCCCCCCCCCCCGAAATCAGACCTAGAATTCCTTTTGGTCTTTCTCTTCCAAAGAGACAACCGAAGCAGGAGCATCTGCTCGAGCGCTTTATCTTTTCTGTTGGTCTGCTTTTGGGGCCACAACTCCTGGCTCTGCACTCAGGGTCACTTCTGGCGGTGCCCAGGGCACCACATGGGGTGCCGGGGATTGAACCTGGGTGGGATGCGTGCAAGGCCAGCGCGTCAACCTGGCGCTGTATTGCGGGCCCCCAGGCTCTCGGCTCTTTCAAATATCACAGGGGGTTGGCGTTTGATTTCCCGGCCCCAGTCCAGCTGTGGTTGCTTCGTGTCGGTGAGAGCGTTTCTCTTTGTGCTGCAGTTACTGGAGGTGCCCCTGCCGTGACTAGGCACCCCTCCAGCTCCGCCTGCCCTCGGCGCGTGTCTTGGCAGAGAGCCTGAGGATGGGTTCCTTCCCCCTTGGGGTGGCCTGTGCACCCAGAGGGTTGGGGGGCAGGCGCTTTCCGGCAGAGCGAGCACTCCTACACCCTTGTTCTGGTTGCTTCGGGATGCCAATGTCGGCCACAGTGCTGAATAGAGGTGGCAGCCTGGAAGTCCAGGCTGGCGAGAGCAGAGTCTGGAGAGACGGCTCAGAGGGTGAGTGCATGTCGCCCACGGGGAAGACGCACATGTGCTCCCCAGCACTGCGTGTCCCCCAAGCACCGCCCGGCGTGGTCTCTGGACACTGCTGGGTGCAGCCCCACGCCCACCCCAGGTAATAATCAGGTGGATATCGGTGGGGTGACCAGATGAGTGGCTGCTCCCTGACGACAAGAGCAGCTTGGCTGCCTGACTTGCGCGCTGGGGATGCGGCTCAGAGAGGATCCCATCCGGCCTCTCCATGGGAGGGACTCCCTGGAGGCCGTTCGTCTCCTTGCAGCAGCTCAGACTAGCCCCGTCCAGCCCCGTCCACTGCTTGCGCTGCCCATCCCATGCATCCCTGTTGTTAACGTTACGGATAGGCCCTGGCCCAGGGCGAAACGTGCTCGAGGCGGTTTTCACGGGGGATCCCAGAGGCCCTGCCCTGTCCCGGCTCTCCCTCCTCCTCCCCTGCCCCCGTGCACCCCTGTCAGCACCCGCGTTCTCAGCCTCTCGGCTGTGGCTGCGTTTCTCCTGCCGCGCTTCGACATTCCCGCCTCTCCCCTGGGACCCATCGCATCAGGCGCAGTATCAGGCCGCCCATCTTGGTGGGTTCTGGCTTAAAGCCGGAACACAAACAACCACCAAGCCCGATCCTTTGGGGTCCTGCAGGTCTGCTCTTGTTTACTCGTGGGCTGTTGACGGTGGCGTCGGACGCCAGCGAGTCCCGCCTCATCGAGCCGCCCTCCCCGCGCCCCAGCTGCAGCGTAGCCCCGCGCGCGGTTGTTTGTACGTGGCCGCTGCCACGTGCCCTCGGGTTGACGCTCTTCCTCTGTATCAGCAGTGCCACACCCTGCTCTATGTTTATAACCTCCCAGCAAACAAGGATGGCAAGAGCGTCGGCAACCGGCTCCGGCGCCTGTCGGACAACTGCGGCGGCAAAGTGCTGAGCATCAGCGGCTGCAGCGCGGTGCTGCGCTTCCTGACCCAGGACAGCGCCGAGCGGGCCCAGAAGCGCATGGAGAACGAGGACGTCTTCGGGAACCGGATTGTCGTGTCCTTCACCCCCCAAAGCAGAGACCTCTGTGAGACGAAGGGTTCCGGTGCCCTAGGCGACAAAGTGAAGTCTCCCAGGAAGCAGAAGGGCGCGAAACTCTGCCTGCTCAGGGACGCGGGCGAGCCGGCGCCAGGGAAGGGGGTGCCCGCCAGCTTGGGCCCGGCCGCGAAGACCCCCCACGTCAAGAGTCTGCAGGTAACCTCCGCCCTGGCTCCGGCTTCTGACGTGGTCCCCGGTCCCGGTTCTGCCCCCCGGGCCTGCCTCAGGCTGTCTCCCTCTTGCCATGGGGTGGTGCGTCCCCAGCGGGTCTGACTCCTCTCGGGGACTTGATGCTTGTCCTCGCGGCCCTGGTGTCTTCCCAGGAGCTGTGCCACCTGGAACCAAAGACGGGCACGAGGAGCAGCGAGCCCCAGCCAGGCCACCTGCGGCTGGTCGCCCCCGCTCACAGAAGTTCAAGTGCCACCCCCGCACCCGTGTCGAAAGCCTCGGCGCTGGCCGAGCCCGTTCCCAAGGCCAACCCGAAGTAGGTCCCCGTGGCCCGTCCTGGGGCTGCTGGGTGCGCGTGCGTGCGGGTGCGGAGAGACCCACTTCCTCTCCGCTCTTCCCTCTCCCCGTTAGGAAAGAGAACCCCGGCCGGAGCGCCGCTGCCTCCCCCATGGAGAGGCAGGAGCTGGAGGAGAGTCTGTTCCGAGTGAGCTACCCCTCTGCCTTCAGCAAGCTCATGGCGTCCCGCCAGGCAGGGCCTCTCCACGCGCCCCAGGCCTGGTCTCGGTGAGTCCAGCTTGCAGCCTGCAGGGGCCTCGGGTGTCTGAGGGCGAGGTGTGGGCGACCCGGCTTCCATCCGGGCACCAGGAGGCCCCTGAGCACGCCGGAAGTGGCCCCGAGCCCCTGAGCACTGCTCGGGAGCCTCCCCCTGCCAGAGGAAGCCAAGCACAGAGCACTCGGCTTGCCACGCAGTGCTGAGGGATCACGGACGCACAGGGAAGGGGGCGGGACTCGGCTGCCCCCTCCCTTGCCAGCTCCCGCTGACACGGGAAGTGGGGTTCTCGCTGTGTCTGCCCCACCCCGGTGGGAGAGGCAGAGGTCGGAGGCCAGGATCGGTGGCAGCCGCCACTCAGGTGTCTTGCTGCTCCGGTGGCGTGTTGTGTTGAGGGGGTTCCCACGCCACGTTGCCTGGCCGGCCCCTTCCCAGGGGACAGGGTGGTGGCCTGAGAGGCAAGGGGCTCCACGGCCGCTGTTGGGTTCTGTCAGGAGCTACGCTCCCCACCGAGGTGGGACGGGCAGTCAGGCCAGGAGGCCGGGTCACGCCCAGGAGCCCCTTCTGGCCTGGGCCCTGTGGGGCTCGGTGAAGGCTCTGGGGGAGTGACCTGGACCTGGAAAGTGGCAACTCAAAGCTCCCATAAAAGTTTTCTTGTATGTGGGAGCTGCAGAGATAGCGCAGTGGGTACTGCACTTGCCTTGCACGTGGCCGACTTGGGATCAGTCCCCAGCACCCCAGGGGGTCCCCCAGGCTGTGCCAGGAGTGACTCCTGAGTGCGGAGCCGAGAGACAGCCCTGAGCACCATCAGGTGTGGCCCAAACATCCCCCCCAAAAAAGGAAAAGAAAATGTGAGGGGCCATAGCATAGGAGCGGGAACTCCTGAGCTCAGAGCTGGAGACCCTTCCTGACGTGAGTTGCCGTCACCCGCCAGCCCAACAGAAGGGGCCCGGGTGGAAAAGAAGCGACTCGAGCCGGCCTGTAGTTTTTGTCTTTACCTTGAAATAATCCACGGAAGGACTTTTTGATGCTCAGCACAGTTCCAGGTGTTCAGGAACCGAAGGGGCGCTCTCGGGGCACGTGTGAGGTGGCAGCCGGCCTGGAAGCCAGATCGGTGCCTGAGAAACGGTTTCTGTCTGTAGCCAGTGAGCGGACCAACGCCAGGAATAAACGGAGCGGGAAGTGGCCGCTCATCACGAACTGCCTCTCTCTGTGTCTTCAAGCAGGAGTATGTCTCCGAACCTCTTAAACAGGACGTCCCCGCTGGCCTTCAACACGGCAAGCTCGAGCGGCGGCGGCAGCGGCGGCGACTGCCCCGACCCGTTTGTGAACGGGGCTGATGTCCAGGTCAGCAACCTGGACTACCGGCTGTCCCGGAAGGAGCTGCAGCAGCTGCTGCTCGAGGCCTTCTCTCGGCACGGCAAGGTGACTGCTCCTCCCGGCTTTGTCCAGCCCCCGCCTGCTACCGGGAGCTCCCCTGCCCCTCTGGTCTGCTCCAGTGTGCTGGGTTTCTGTCTCTGGGCCAGCCCGACTCTGTACCTGGGGATCACTCCTGCCAGTGCTCTCTCAGGGGACCTTGTGGGCTGCCAGGGATTGAACCTGGGTCGGCTACATGCAAGATAGATGCCCTCCCCGCTGTCCTGTTGCTCCGACCCCACCTCTGGTCTGCTTTACGGTGGGGTGGGGGCGTCCATGCCGTGTGGGGATCCCAGCCCTCGGGGTCAGGTAAGCTGCAGGCAGCCCTGCTGGCCATGGGCAGGAGCTGGCGTGGGAGGGAAGGACGGGCCGCTGGCTCAGCGCTGGCCGCTGGCACGCACAGGAAGGATTCTGGGGCTTTGCCAAAGCCTTTCTTATCCTCTCATGGTGTAAGATCCTGGTTGTAGGTGCCTTTTCCAGAATCAGTTTCTCCCCCTCCCCTCCCCCCTCCCCTCCCCTCCCCTCCCCTCCCCTCCCCTCTCTCCTTTTTCTCTCCTCTCTCCCTCTCCCTCTGTCTCCCTCTCTCTCCTCCCTCTCTCTCCCTCTCTCTTTACCACTCTCTCTCTCCCACTCTTTCTCCCTCTCTCCCCCTCCCCTCCCCTCCCCTCCCCCCTCCCCTCCCCTCCCCTCCCCTCCCCTCCCCTCTCTCCTTTTTCTCTCCTCTCTCCCTCTCCCTCTGTCTCCCTCTCTCTCCTCCCTCTCTTCTCCCTCTCTCTCCCTCTCTCTTTACCACTCTCTCTCTCCCACTCTTTCTCCCTCTCTCCCCCTCCCCTCCCCTCCCCTCCCCCCTCTCCTCCCCTCCCCCTCCCCTCCCCTCCCCTCTCTCCTTTTTCTCTCCTCTCTCCCTCTCCCTCTGTCTCCCTCTCTCTCCTCCCTCTCTTCTCCCTCTCTCTCCCTCTCTCTTTACCACTCTCTCTCTCCCACTCTTTCTCCCTCTCTCCCCCTCCCCTCCCCTCCCCTCCCCCTCCCCCTCCCCTCCCCTCCCCTCCCCTCCCCTCTCTCCTTTTTCTCTCCTCTCTCCCTCTCCCTCTGTCTCCCTCTCTCTCCTCCCTCTCTTCTCCCTCTCTCTCCCTCTCTCTTTACCACTCTCTCTCTTCCACTCTTTCTCCCTCTCTCCTTCTCCCCTCTCCCAACTCTCCCTGTCTCTCTATTCCTGGGCCTTGGGCTTCTGCAGTGTCCTGGTAGGCGCCCTGGCCTCCAGGCCTGCCTTAAATTGCGGTGTGTGCTGGAGGCCGCGGGCAGCCCAGCTTGATCTGTGTACCCGAAGGTCACCTTTCCTGGCTCGCTGAGGTTCTGGGAGGTCCAAGTGCAGTCTTCGTGCCAGGAGCTGTGGTTGCAGTTGCAAGGGCCTGTTCGCCTCTCTGCCTCCCCAGGTGAAGGCTGTGGAGCTGAGCCCCCACACGGATTACCAGCTCCGGGCCGTGGTGCAGATGGAGAGTTTGCAAGAAGCAAATAGCGCAGTGAATAGCCTCCACAGACACAAAATTGGCAGCAAGAAGATCCTGGTCTCACTGGCTACTGGAACTGCTAATAAGTCACTGTCTTTACTGAGGTAAAAACAAAATGAAACGTGCAAAAAAAAAAATTCAAGTCATTTCGTTCAGGAAACTTGGTCCAGAAAATTCAGGAATAAATAGGGTTTTTGTTTGTTTGTTTGTTTTGTTTTATTAGTGAAACACCACAAGGTACTGTTATAGACTTATAAATTTCTGTGCTTGGGTTTCAGTTATACAATGATCGAGTACCCATCCCTCCACCAGCGCCCATCCTCCACCACCACGGTCCCAGCATCCCTCCCACCCCCCATCCCCTCATCCCACCCTGCCTCTGTGGCAGGGCATTCCCTTTTGTTCTATCTCTCTCCCTTTGGGTCCTGTGGTTTGCAAGAGAGGCATTGAGTGGCAATCATGTTCGGTCTATAGTCTACTTTCAGCATGCGTCTCCCATCCTCTCGGCCTTCTTGTGGTGGCGCCATAGGTAATAATGCTCACTCCGAACTGCAGGTTAGAAATAAAGGAGTTAAAACATTTTACGCATGCCAGGTGATTAGTGGAAGGTCAAGTCCAGTGTAAACTTGGCAGTGAGGGGCAGAGGAACAGACGACACGCTCAGAACAGGCTCTTGAAATAGGAGGCATCTGCCGTCACAGTCTGTGAACCTGTAAAGCTTTAAATAGGTTCTTCCCACTTTGGCAGAAGAGGAGATTAGTGTGTGAAGTAGAGCACCTGTCTTGTCTGCCCAAGGCCCTGAGTTTGGTCCCCTGCATGGGGGTGGGGGAGTACAGAAAAAAAATAACTTTTCCCTTCGGGCAGTCCCAGACCTATAAGCCCAGCTGGGACCTCATCTCCGGGCCCAAGGACTGAGCCATCAGGCCAGCTATCTGCAGGCCAGTTTTCAGCCTTGGTCAGACGCCCAGTCCTGGGCACCTCTCTCCACCAGCGTCGAGTAACTGCCATGTTGAGGAATCTGTGGAGGGTTTCATTCAGCTGAGTTTTTCTCCCTGTTGTGGGCAAAGTTAGTGAAACACACTTTTCTTCAGGCTTTTCAATGATCTGACGTGTGCTGTGTTTTTCTAAGGGTTTAGTTTGATTGTATTTTTGTGTATTGGGGGAAGATTTCTGTGTTCCGGGGTGGTTTTTATTTTTGGCCCCCCCCCCCCAGCATTGCTCAGGAGGCAGTCAGCTGGGCTGATTGTTCAGGCACAGGCCTGAGAATGTGGTGCTGCTTGGGCCCTGCGGGGTTGGGGAGACCATTGATGGGTCCTCCAGGGCCCTGTGTGGTGCCAGGAATCAAAGCAGGGTCCACCTACTGTTCTGCTGTGTCCCGGGACTCAGACTTGGTCCGCCTGATACTGTACCCTCTCCCGGCCCCGTAAGTTTTTTTGTTAAAGTCGGGTAAAATTAACATGTTGAAGAAAGTTTGCAAAGCTCAGAAGTATGCATGGAACCCAGGGCTTCGTGCCTGCCCAGCAGATGCTCTGTGAATAGGCCACACCCTCAGCCCTGAGGTGTGTTTACGGTACAACTTGGGGGTACTGGAGGTTAGTGCGCGGGTTATGGCATGAGCCTGGCATGTGGTTGACCTGGGTTTAGTCCCTGGCATCCACTATACCCCCCCCCCAAGTGAGCCAGTAGTGAGCCCTGAGCACTGCTGGGTGTAACCCCAAAACAAACCAAAATCTAATTTGAGGGCCAGGAAGCGATCTGTGTTCTGATTGATTCCACTTTTGTCCTGCAGCGCAGAAGCCATGTCCATTCTTCAGGATGCCCCTGCCTGCTGTCTGCCCCTTTTTAAGTTTACAGATATCTATGAAAAGAAGTAAGTTTGATCCTGCCCTCCCCCCCCCCCCTCCCCAGCACTGAATTCCGTGCCTAAATCATGGGATGACTTAGAACTTCTTAGCATGTTGTCGGGAATGGAACAGAGACGCTGTTTTCTGTTTGTTTGGGGTCACCCCCGGCAATGCTCAGGGGCTACTCCTGGCTCTGCACTCAGGAATTACTCCTGGTGGTGCCCAGGGGACCCTTTGGGATGCCAGAGATCGAACTCGGGTCAGCCGTTTGCAAGGCAAGCACCCATCCCACGGCACTATCACTCCGGTTCCCGTTTCCTGGTTTTTGACCTACACTTTCAGACCTTGAGTGCTCAGCATATTTAGACCTCAGTCCACCGTATTTTTATTTCTCCCGCCAGCTGACTGACGGGTCCCTAGGGGACGCTTCCCAGCGTCTTTCAGACGGTCAGTTTCAGCAGGCTTGGGACAGCCGAACCCCTGCACTGTGGCTATGGACCCAAGAAGTGCCCCGGGGGGGAGGGGGCTTAGGGCGGCCGCAAAGCTGGCACGGCATGGTCCTTACCATGTGGCGCTCCCGCCGGGAAGGAGAGAGAGGACACTCTCAGAGGACAGCGTCCGAGGGAGGGCACACTGGGAGTGGGCGCTGGGGCTGCGGCGGGTGGAGCAGAATGGGAGCAGCGCCCCCCTCACTCACCGTCGGGGGGCCATGGGCAGCTCTGGGTGCTGTAGCCACAGCCAGGACCTGCGCTGGTGGCCGCAGCGTCCGAGCCAGAGCGAGCAGGGTCCGCGGCTCAGCGGGAGCTGAGGCCCCGAAGCTTCCAGAGCTGTCAGTACAGGCTGCTCATGCCAGCCACAGTCTGAGGGGCCGCGCGTTCTATCTGGTTTGGGCCATGGCCAATGAGGCTCAGGGCTTACCCCTGGCCCTGTGCCCAGGGCTCACTCCTGGTGGGGCTGGGCGGACCTATGAGGTGCTGGGGATCAAGTCAGCTGTGTGCAAGGCAAGTGTCTCTTCACTCCAGCCTTCTGAGTAGTTTTTATCCTTGATAATTGAGGGGATGGTTGTCTGGTAGAACTCGGAAAAGAAAGAATGTGAGGTTTGGGGTGGGAGGGGGCGGAGAGAGAAAGTGATTCTGGAAGGTGCCGTGGCTGGTTTTTTTAAGCACTGGCAGAAGGTGGGACCGAGCAGTTAGTTCTTGCACTCGGAGACACTCCTGAGTCAGCTCTGAAGGAATTTGGCTGCAGGTGGTCCCGGAAGGCCAGAAGTGGGTGCCGGAGGCGAGGGTGCTGCCAGGGGTGTGGGGTGACGCCCCAGAGCACCGTGCGAGGGTGAGGAGGAAGCAGGGACCCTGTGCCTCAGCCCTGGGTGAGATCCGTGTGGGAGATGTAGCATCTGTGTCCCGAGTCGGTGAGCAGTTTCGTCTTGGGGAAGCCGGACCGAGGTGGGGGGACACCAGGGGTGGGACAGATGCTCAGGGCTCTGGCTGTGTGCCAGGCGCTCCCCAGAGCCTCATCCTCACATCAGTCCCGTGCATGGGGGTGGGTGGGTGGCATCGCCCCACGATTCCAGGGGCCAGGTTAGTCCTGCGGTGGGACTCGGGGCACGTGGGCCGAGCCAGGCGGCTCCAAGCCCCACGAACGGGGCTGTCTCGGAAGCAACATTGGGCGGAGGCGCTGCCCTCACCGGCCAGGCCGAGCTCCTTGCTGGAACCGCCCGGGGCTCCTGGGTGCTCCTGGGGCCCCAGGGCCCCGGGACTCAGACGCGCTGCTGGCCACCACCTGCCTCTGTGGTCTCACCCCTCAGGTTCGGCCACAAGCTCAACGTGTCGGATCTGTACAAGCTGACAGACACGGTGGCCGTCCGTGAGCAGGGCAGCGGCCGGCTGGTGTGTCTCCTGCCCAGCAGCCAGGCCCGCCAGAGCCCCCTGGGCTCCTCCCAGTCGCACGACGGCTCCTCCACCAACTGCAGCCCCATCATCTTCGAGGAGCTCGAGTACCACGAGCCCGTCTGCAGGCAGCACTGTGCTGACCCGAATTTCAGGTGGGGTCTCCGGGAGGCCCGGCACCTGCTCCTGCCAACCCCGCCGCCGCCCCACTCCCCGCATGCCAGCTCAACAGTTCGCTCGCTCTCTCTCTGCAGTGAACATGAGTTTGACCCGGACTCGTACAAGATTCCCTTCGTGATCCTGTCTCTGAAGACGTTCGCTCCGCAGGTGCACAGCCTGCTGCAGACACATGAGGGCACGGTGCCGCTGTTGAGGTGGGCAAGGGCCGCAGCTGCCTCGCGCCCCTCTGCCCTGGCTTTACTTGCCCCCAACACTCCTCGAGTGGAAGCGTGTCCTGCAGGCCGCTTCTTCCAACCCTGCGGGACACTTCTTCCAGCCGTCGAGCCGGGCGCTCACGCTCAGGCCATGTCTCGGGTTGGGGGCCAGGTGCTCGGGAGTCGAGCTGGAAAGTGTATTTTGTTTTGGTTTTTTTGGGTCACAACTAGTAATGCTCGGGGGTTTCTCCTGCCTCTGCATTCGGGAATTAACTCTGGCGGTGCTCAGGGGGACCCCGTGGGATGTCATGGATCAAACTCGGGTCGAATGTGTGCAAGGAAAACACCCTCCCCGCTGTGCTGTCGCTCCGTGCACTCCCACCCCCACTCCCCACCGTGTCTGCAGTACAGAAGCCCCCTTGGCTACCCCACGGGCCCGGAGTAGACTGGCCTGACACCAGGATACACTAACGCTGGCGGGGGATTGGGTGGCAGCCCCTGTACCGTCTCCTCAAGAGTCCCTTGGTTCTTGGGTCACCCGCAGCTCGAGTGTTCGGGGCTACTCCTGGCTCTGTCGGTACATGGGGGACCCTGGGGTGCTGGAGAGCACACAGTGGCTCAGGCGTGTGTGGACAAGGGTTCAACCTCTGTCCTCTCTCCAGCCGGAGGGGCCTTTCCACCCCTTCTGTGGACACTCTCCCCTTCCCACTGTGCCGGGCGGTGGCCCTGGCCTCCCTGGCACCTGCGTTCTCTGTGCCCAGACCCTGCTAGCCCTGACCCGTTCCTGGGCCTCGGAAAGGAAGGTTCCGGGGGTGGCCGGCGCTCAGCTTCCCCGGGATTTGACTCGCCTTTTTTTCTCCCCTGACCAGCTTTCCCGATTGTTACGCCGCAGAGTTTGGCGAACTGGACGTGGTGCAGGAGAACCAAGGGGGCGTTCCTTTGGAGCACTCCATCACCTGTGTTCCAGGGGTGAACGTCGCCACCGCCCAGAACGGCGTCAAAGTGGTGAAGTGGGCGCACAACAAGCCCCCACCCCCCAACTCAGGTAGGGGCAGGTGCGGCAGGCGCGGGAGGCTCTGTCAGAACAGCCGCCACACCCGGCGGTGCTCTCGGCTGACTCCTGCTCTGTGCTCGGGACCAAGGGAGGTGCTGGGGTCAGACCCAGGTCAGCTGCGCGCGGCCAATGTCCGCCCCGCAGTCCTGTGGTGGTGGCGTCCACCCACTGGGAGGCCTCGTTGCTGTCCTGGTCTCGGAGGCGCCCAGGCAAGGGCTGCGAGCTTGGTGCCCTGTCTCGGCGCTGCCTGAGGAACACTGTCGTCTGTTCCCCGTGCGTCCAGACCCGTGGCTCCTGCGGTCCAAGAGCCCCGTGGGGAACCCCCAGCTGATCCAGTTCAGCAGGGAGGTGATCGACCTGCTGAAGAGCCAGCCCTCCTGCCTCACACCCATCGGCAGCTTCATCCCCTCCTACCATCACCACTTCGCCAAGCAGTGCCGGGTGTCCGACTATGGCTACTCCAAGCTCATCGAGTTACTTGAGGCGGTGCCGCACGTGCTGCAGGTAGGGAGCAGGCTGGGCTCTGGTCCTAAAGGGCCAGTCCTCGAGACGCGTGGCGGCTGGTGGCCACGTTCCAGAGAAGCCAGTGCAAAGCGCAGCATGTGTGCACACATCACGCACAGACATGTGCACACACAAAACGCGCAGGCACGTTGGCACACGTACATGAGTGCATGTATGCACACGTATGTGCAAATACAGGCAAATGCCCCCGTAAACATGCATGTGCACACGTGCCCACACACGCAGCGTCAGCCTGCTCCTTCTCCCGCCCTCCGGAGACCCGCGACCCTCCCAGACGTTCCTGCCTGTTCCAGCTGGGCCTGCCTTCCTAGCAGTCAAGCTGAGGGCTGGTCCCCACGCGGCGACCCGTTTGCTCCCACTGGGTGGGGAGGCGGCCCCGGCCTGTAAGCGGATAGAGACAGAGGGAGTTCCCGAGACTGGCAGCCTGGGCGTTTCATTTCACCGTCGTAGCAGAAAGGGGTGCAGGCTGACAGCGGGCCACGTGGGGCTGGGGCTGAGGCGTGGGACACACGGGAGCACGCGCTCCACTGCCTGGAGCACAGCTCGGCCGTGAGGCTGTCCGTTGGGCCCTCGTCCCCGCGTCCCGAGTGCAGCTGCCGGCACTCAGGGCTGTGTGGGCTCCCGGGGGCCTTTGCTTTCAGATCCTGGGGATGGGCTCCAAGCGCCTGCTGACGCTGACACACAGGGCCCAGGTGAAGCGCTTCACGCAGGACCTGCTCAAACTGCTCAAGTCCCAAGCCAGCAAGCAGGTCGTTGTGAGAGAGTTCTCGCAGGCTTACCACTGGTGAGTTGCTGACCAATCACCAAGCAGTCTATAAATTAAGGTACCAGTTTTTTGGTGGTGGTGGTGGTGGAGGCACACCTGGCTGTGCTCAGGCCTTACTCCTGGCTCTGCACTCGGGCCACTCCTGGCAGGCCCAGAGAGCCCTGTGAGGTGCTGGGGATCGAACCCCAGCCAGCTGTGTCCAAAGCAAACATCTTAACCACTATTACTGTCTCTCCAGCCCCATATATACTTTTTTTTTTAAGTAAAGCAACATTTTTCTCTCTGCTGGTTTCCCCCGTTCCCCCACCCCAGTTTGGGTCATCATTTAACTCTTCCGCCCAGTGTTCTCGGAAAAGCGGCATGTCCCGTTCCTGACCCGTTTGCGTGGTTACCGTCTAGGTGTTTCTCCAAGGACTGGGACGTCACCGAGTACGGGGTGTGTGAGCTGACAGACATCATCTCGGAGATCCCGGACACCACCATCTGCTTGTCTCAGCAGGACAGTGAGACGGTGATCTGCATCCCCAAAAGGGGTATGTTGGCTTCCGCTGGCCAGGAGGAAATGGTTCCAGTCCGTGACTCCTGTGGCTTGGGGGCGGGTCACCTCCCTGCGCTCCGTGGTGGGCGCACACATCCCGCAGGCCTGTGTGTGAAAGCTGGCTGGCTGGTGCTGTGGCTCTCTGCACCTGTCCTCCGCCGGGGAGAAGGCGTGGCCTGTCCATCCTTCTGTTGCTTTCAGCCCTGCTGGGACGGGGTCATCTGTCCAGGGTCAGCTCTCGGACTCGTGCTTGCCCCCCTTCTCACCTCTGAGCCCCTTTACCTCGCACCCTGGAGCGGGAGAGGAAATGCAGTGGACAAGGGGGCTCCTCCACCTCCACGTGTCAGTGGTGCTGGGAGGCGGGCCAGGGAGAGCCAAAGGAGTTTGCTGCCCTGTTCGCCTGCTCTGCAGCCCCACTCCTGCCCAGCGCGGGGGCCGAGTACTCAGGCTCCCATAGCCAGGACGGTGTTTGTCTGCCTTCTTCCCTTTCTGAGATCGAAATCCACAGAAACAGCCAAAGTGCGGCTTTTGCTGTTCTGTGGGGTGAAAGTTTGAGGCCCAGGGCTGGAGCCATGGCACAGTGGGGAGGGTGTTTGCCTTGCACGCGTCTGACCCAGGTTCGATTCCCAGCACCCATTGGGTCCCCCAAGCACTGCCAGGGGTAATTCATGAGCACAGAGCCAGGAGGAACCCCTGTCATCACCAGAGTCTGAGGCCTGAGACTACTGGTAGCAGTTTTGACTGGAGATCAAAGGAATGAACACAAAAAGAAGCCGTTGAATGTCCAAAAGTGTGGGTTCAAGGCTTGGTTTCTAGAGTGTGTTTCAAGTACAGCCTGTAAAGTTCTGGGTGTCGCACGGGGCACGAGGCTGGGGAAGCCTGACGGGGGCCAGGGGAGTTATAAACTGTGAGTGCGCGTGCATGCGTGTGTGTGTGTGTGTGTGTGTGTGTGTGTGTGCGCGCGCGCGCCATTCCGTCATGGCATTTGAAGCTCAGGGGCCAGGGGGTCTGCGGCTGCTGAGAGGGATCGCGTGCGTGTGTGGGTGTCTCCGGTCGTGTGTGTCAGGGCGGCACAGAGGGTCTCCCCTAAGCCGGGCGCAGGAGCAGGCACAGCCAGTGCGGGAGCCAGGAGCCGGGGCAGCTGGAGGAGCCTGGCGGCTTTCCTGCTTCTCTCCAGAGCGGACTCAGGATGAGATTGAGAGGACGCGGCAGTTCTCCAAGGACGTGGTGGACCTGCTCCGGCACCAGCCGCACTTCCGGATGCCCTTCAACAAGTTCATTCCCTCCTACCACCACCACTTCGGTCGCCAGTGCAAGCTCGCCTACTACGGGTTCACCAAGCTCCTAGAACTCTTTGAAGCCATCCCTGATGTTCTACAAGTAAGAGGAGGGACTCAGTGTCTGAATCGTCCAGGGGCCGAGGGCGTTACCTGAGAGGGGTGCGGGCCTCGCTTCAGGAACCGATCGTTTCAGGCAGGCCTGGTTTCGAGAAAACAGAAAATTATGAAAGAGTTAAAATCGGGACTAGCCTGATCAGACAAGCTGTGTTGTTGGCCTGATAATGTTTTTAGGTACGGATCGTAGTTTTATTTTCCTTTTGCCAGGGAAAAATAAGATGTCTGTCACTGACTTGATTAGCAGCACTATTTTGATCCCTGCAGACTTAGATCTTTAAAATACTGTGTAGTGCTGGAGTGATATCACAGCGGGTAGGGCTTTTGTCTTGCACGCCGCCGACCCGGGCTCGATTCCCAGCATCCCCTAGGGTCCCCTGTGCACTGCCGGGTGCCGGGTGTGACCGGAAAAAAATTACTGTGTAAAGGACACATACCTGCTTATCCCTGGTGGGCTGCGGGGAACAGAGGTTGGCCGGGTGCAAGACAAGCACTGTCCCCCTGCCCTCTCTCTCTGCCTCCCTCCCTCGTCATTTTCAAGTGTGTTCCGCTCGTTTGGGTCACACTCACATTGGCACGCACCCAGTTTGCAGAACTCTCTCACGGGGCTGGGGGTGGTTCTGGAGACTGACCCCTGACCCCTTGTGCTCAGCACCGAGGCCCGTTTTCAGCCCCAGGACCCTCCCTCTGGGGAACTGGACCCTGTCCCCGCTGCTGGTCGTCCACTTCCCCTGCTGCCCGATCAGCCCGGCCGGCCCCACCGCCTGCCCCTCCTCGTGTGTCTCCAGGTGCTGGAGTGTGGCGAGGAGAAGGTCCTCACGCTGACGGAGGCGGAGCGCTTCAAAGCTCTCGCTGCCCAGTTCGTCAGACTCCTTCGCTCCCAGAAGGACAACTGCCTCATGATGAGCGACCTGCTCCCGGAGTACGCCAAGGCCTTCGGGTACACGTTCCGCCTCCAGGACTACGACGTCAGCTCCGTTTCAGCCCTGACGCAGAAGCTGCGCCATGTGGTCAAGGTGAACAGGGTCGGTCTGGTGTCCCGAGAGGCGTCCAGCAAACCCTCGCCCTGGCTGCACCCTCCCCCACCTCAGTCCCCAAGACAAAGGGGACGCTGAGCTGGGGACGGGAGAGGTGACGCGGCTGGCGTGGGGGAAAGCTGGGGGGGTTTTCTCCCCCTCCCATTTTCATCAGTGCTGGGGCTGGAGCGATAGCACAGTGGTTAGGGCATTTGCCTTGCCTGTGACCAGCCCAGGTTCGATTCCCACCATCCCATATGGTCCCCCGAGCAGAGCCAGCTGGGTGTGACCCAAAAAGCCAAAAAAAGGGGGGAGGGTATTTCCATCAAGGGTCCCTGATTGGCGATACGCCCTGAGGATAGTTCCCTGCGCCCATGCCCCCAGCACCGCCCCCCACTCTCCACCTGAGTCTCGGGCCCCCTCCCACCCCTGCCACCCCGACCTCAGAGTTGGACCTGCCTCCCTCGCCCCGCAGGTCGCTGACATGGAGTCCGGCAGGCAGATCCAGCTCATCAGCCGCAAGTCTCTGCGCGCCCTCACGGCGCAGCTGCTGGTCCTGCTGATGTCCTGGGAGGGCGAGGCCACGCCCTCTGTGGGGGAGTTGCGCGCCCAGTACGAGGCCGCCCACGGCGCCCCCCTCAACCCCTGCGAGTACGGCTTCCTCACGCTGGCCGAGCTGCTACGGAGCCTGCCCTACCTGGTGGAGGTGGGTCAGCGCCCCCCAAGACGGCCTCTCCCACGCGCACCGCGAGCCAGCGCGGGCGTTCCCAGCGTGCCCGGTGCGGCTTTCCCTGAAGGCTCTTAATTAGCTGCAGACGGGCGGGCGCTAGTTCCAGGCGGTCTGTCACTTGGGTTGGGAGGCCTCTCCGTGCGGGGCCAAGCCCTTGGGCTCCCGGGCAAGTGCTCGGTTTCCTCGGCCACCGAGAGGGGTTCCGCACTGCTGTGTCTGTTGCTGCTTGGCTGTTCAGCCCATAGAGCCGTCGCTGGGCCTTGTCAGTGGGCGGGCAGTGGCCCTGGGGCCGCGTGGAGATTTGCGGCCTGCCCCTCTCGCCCCCTTCTGCCCCCACCCTCCCGCGTTTGTCCTTCCCCTGGGTCTGTGCCCCCTGTGCGGGCAGACGGCGCTGATGCCGCGTCGAAATCAGGGCCTTAAGAGGGAGCGTCCACCCTGCTTCCTGCCCGTTCTCCCCGTGACGTTCAGGTTCATCCTCCGGGTCCTGCCGGGCGTTCTGGAAGCGACTAAGGCTGTGTCTCCCCTCGGGCCAGGTGTTCACGAACGACAGGGCCGAGGAGTGTGTGCGCCTCACGAGCCTGTACGTGTTCGCCAAGAACGTGCGTGCCCTGCTGCAGACGTACCACTACCAGCAGCTGTTCTTGCACGAGTTCCCCGTGGCCTACGCCAAGTACGCGGGGAAGACGCTGCTCCCGCAGGCCTACGGCCACAGCAGCGTGGAGGAGCTCCTGGGCGCCATCCCGCAGGTGGGAAGGGGGCGGGGGCTCCTTCTGCTCCTGTGGCCCAGGCCACCCTGGCACCCACCGCCCTCGGGGGCCTCAGGAGCCTCAGTACCCGAAGGCCAGGGCTCCACTGCTGCTCATCAGCCCAGCCGTGGCCTCACACCCGGAACCCCAGGGGTCCCAGAGCCGGCCCTGCCCCGGCCCTCCTGTGCCCACTGCCCACTGTGCCAGCCAGCCAGAGTTTGGGGACAGTTAAAGCCGAAAAGGACATTTCCAGCGGCCTAGAGAGAGCACAGGGGTTGGGTGCTGGCCTTGCATGTGGCTGACCCTGGGTTCACCCCGGCATCACTACAGTCTCTCAGGTTCCTCCAGGACTGATCTCTGAGCACTGTCGAGTGTGACCCCCAATGTCCCCCGCTACCCCCCCTTTTTTTTTTGAATATCCGGGTCAGGAGGGAGCCCAGGTTTGCTTGAGGGAGGCCTGGGTGCAATCCCCAGTCCCGCCTGGTCCCCCCAAGTACCACCAGGAGCGGACAGACTGGGAGGAGCCCCTGCACCACCTGACTTGGCGCCCAAAGCCCCTGGCTGGGGAATGTGTTGTGTGTGTATTGGCTTCTTGGCGGCGGTCCCCACGTGGCGGTCAGGAGGCCTGGGGGCCCCGGTGAGGGTTGGGGTGCTGCTGGGCCCCCCAGCACTGCCTCGAGCCCTCCAGGGCCACACCCGGCAGTGCCCAAGGCCCACTGCATGCATACCGGGGACTGGGGACCCCGCGCCCTCCCTGCCCCTCGCGGGCTGCCCGCACTCCCAAAGGGGGGGCAGGCAGAACAGTTCCTGGGTACCCTTGGTGTCGGCGCTGTGGTTGTGTGAGGTGGGCACGCGGGGCCCTTGCTCCCTGCGCGTCGGGGCTGGCCCCCCGCCCACAGCCGGCTTGCCTCTGCCTACCCGGGGGTGTCTTGGCGCAGGTGGTCTGGATCAAGGGACATGGTCACAAGAGGATCGTGGTGTTGAAGAACGACATGAAAGGTAGGCCGCCCCTGCGCCTTCAGCCCCCGCCCCCGCCCTCTCCCCCCTGACGAGTGCCGCCTCCTCCAGGTCGCGTGAGCTCCCTGGGTCCCTCCCCCGCCGACCGCGAAAGCCGGCCCGCCGAGACGCAGCGGATCCTGGAGGGGCCCGAGTTCCAGCCGGTGGTGGAGAGCCACGGTGAGGGGCCAGAGGGACGGGGCGAAGGGGCACCCTCGGCACAGCAGGCAGGCGGGCGGGGTGCGGGCCCAGATGCGCCTCAGTGCCCCCACGGCCCCCGCGATGCCCAGTGCTGCTGTGTGCTGGCCCTCGTGAAGGGGAGAGTCAGGGAAGAAAGCTGCTGATACTCCGGGCAGGAGGGGACGGGGCGCGCCCACTGGAAGGGACACGAAGGGGGCGGCACAGAGCAGGGGTGAGGCCATCCAAGAGGGTCCTCGCTTAGGGGCTCCTGTTCGCCGACGCCCCAACCCCAGCTCAGACGGATTCGGCAAAGCCAGGACGGGGCGGAGCCAGAGGCCTGACCGCAGTGTCCGGGGGAGGGTCTGGTAGCAAGCGGCGCTTTAGTGTTTCTCAGATGCCAGCTGCTTCGGGGGGCCACAGCGACAGCGCAGCGGGGAGGATGCTGGCCTTGTGCACAGCCCGCCTGGATTCGATCCCCGGCATCCCAGAGGTTCCCCCGAGCCCTGAAAGGAGCGATTCCTGAGCACGGCGGGTGTGGCCTGAAACAAAGCACAGGCACTGCCCAGAAACCTCCGCAGGCCGTGTCTGCACCCACATCAGGGGTCCCCGGGTGCCTTGGGAGGACGGGAGGCACGCGGCAGCGAGGTGTGGGTGCTCCGGCCCGGCAGGGACTGGGTGTCATGGGATGGTCAGAGACTCAGCCTGGGGCCCTGCGTGGGCAATGCAGACAAACCTGGGACCCTCTGGAGCAGTTCCGCGTTCCCCCAGAAGGCAGCAGGAGACGGTGGCCCTTTGGGGGGCAGACACTCGCCCCATCGCGGGAAAGGGCTGCCAGGGTGGGAGTTAGGAAGCCGCCAGCCGGGGCTCTCCACGCCGCGCTCGCCATCTGTGCATGTGGGCGGCCGGGCAGGGCCCCCGACTTGACTCCAGCCTGTGCCCCCCTTCCCCGTGCCCCCGGCCCTTCTCGCGACTTGGGAGCTGGCAGTGGCCCCGTTTCACAGCACACGTTGAGAGCCGGTGCCTCGGTGCTTTGCGCGAACGGACCCCTTGCTCCTGGGCAGCCATGAGGGCGCGGTCCCTCCCTGCCCTTGCTCGGGCCCTGCCCTGACGGCCAGCGGGCACTTAGCACTCACTGCCTTTTCCGCAGAGCACCCGCTCCCCGACCACCAGCTGCTCCGCCTCACTGACGACTCCCCGGTGGACCTCCTGTGCGCCCCCGTCCCCTCGAGCCTGCCGTCCCCCCAGCTGAGACCCGACCCTGTCATCCTGCAGCCCGCCGACCTCATCCAGTTTGAGGACCACACTCAGGAGCCCGCTGGTAAGGAGAGAGAGAGAGAGAGAGAGAGAGAGAGAGAGAGAGAGAGAGTGTGAGTGTGTGTGTGTGTGTGTGTGTGTGTGTGTGTGTGTGTGTGTGTGTTTCACCGTGCTGTGTGCCTTTGTGTCACTAGGGGGCACTGTGCTCTGTACATGTGTTTGTTTCTGTGTGTGTGTCAGTAGGGTGCGCCAGTGTGTGTGTGTGTCTTTTTGACTCTGTGTATCTTTGTGTGTCTGTCAGTAGGGAGTGTCGTGCTCTATGTGTGTGCCTGTCAGTCTCTGTGTGCATTCTTGTGTGTGTATCAGTAGGATGCACCATGATATGTGTTTGTGTGTGTGTGTGTGTGTGTCTGTCTGTCTGTCTGTCTCTGGGGGTGTGTCTGTCTGAGTCTGGGTATGTGTGTGTGTGTCTGTCTCTGGGGGGGAGGTGTGTGTGTCTGTCTCTGGAGGTGTGTGTGTGTGTGTGTTCACATCTGTCTGTGTGTGTGTGTAGGGTGCACCGTGGTGTATCTACAACCCGGAGGCCGAGGAAGGCCACAGTGTGAGTTGTGCAGTCAGGGTGACCTCCTGAGGTGGCTGGGGACCCTCCAGCAGGGAGCGGGGTGGGCCTGTGGGGCTGTGGGGGCTACGCTGTGGGATCCTGCAGGGGCCCTGCCACCTGGGCTGGTCCTGAGGTGGCCCCAGAGGTTTCCGAGGATGGGGGCTGCGGGTGGGCATCTGTCCTGGCCCCCACACAGCCCCTGGGCACAGCCTCAGCCTGGGGCCCCTGCCTGCCCATCCCACCCACCCCCGGCTGCCAGCATTGGAGCTTCCGGCCCGAGCGGACGGCGTCCACTGCAGGAGCCGTTCCCATGCTCACTGGGTACTCGGCACCACAGCGTGAGCAGAGTTTGGCTCTGCCAGCCCAGACAAAAAGTGGGAGAGCCTGTCGGGGGTCTGAAAGGGGCCCTGCCACCAGAGGCCCCTGCATGCGGCCGATTCCTCGGCACTTCTGTGCCCCAGGTTCTGGCTGGCCGGGGACAGGAGCGGACGGGGCGGGCTGCTGTGGGCTCGTGACCACCATGCTCCCGTGTCAGCCGTCATTACCCTACCGCCGGGGACCTGGGACATGCATGGCTCTGGGGGAAGCTCCCGAAAAGGAACAGCTGAGGGCTCAGCGTCGAGCTGGCGCGAGGTCAGATGCTGCCGTTCTCCCCTGGCTGTGCCAAGGCCCTGGGCACTTCCCTCCTGGCTGTCAGGTCTCGTGGCCTCTGGCAGAGAGAGCCAAGTGGCAGCCCGAGAGGAACCTCTTGCTCTGCCGCAGCTGAGACAGGCTGGGGGCGCGTCTCGGCCGCCCAGGGAACTGCGGGGGCTGCTTGAAGAAACGGTTTTGTAGGGCTGCCTTGCACGCAGCATCCCTTAGGGTGCCCCGAGCACACAGCCAGGAGTTGAGCCCTGGGGTCTGCCGGGGATGGGCCCGCTCCCCTCCCACCCAAAAAGAAAAGCTGACTGAAGTACCCGCCGATGAGGTGCGTGTGCCGGCCCGGCCCTCACGCGTTTGCTTCCTCTGCGTTCACAGGGACGACGGTTTTGAATGAGGACAAGCCCAGCGGGATGCCAGCGCCCACCAAGGATGAGGACCCGCCTCCCGCTGGCGGCCCCCCCAGCGTCTCGGAGCCGGCTGCGCCACCCTGCAGCAGGGGGCCCGCCCAGAGCCCCGCCAGGAAGCCCCGCAACCGCGTGAGGCTGGCGGCCAACTTCACCTTCGCCCCCGTCACCAAGCTCTGAGTGTCGCCAGGGACGGAGACCAGCACAGGGCAACGCTGTCTGATTCCGCACACACGTGGGTTCCTAACGGCCTTTAACCCAGACCCCCGCCCCCCAACCTCCAACCTCGCGCTTGTTTCTCGGCCTGTTCCGAAATACCGTTCCTCCTGCCTCCAACACAGCCTCGAGCCGCGGGGTTGGGGTTTTGTTTTCTTTTGTTTGTTTTCACCCACGAGTCCTCTGCCCCCCAGTTATTTGAAGGGGAGAAGGGAAAAAAAATCCCACGAACTTCTAGTGTTTGTTTGAAAGAATCCTTCAGAAAGTTGACCCAACTCTTTCATCATTAAGAACTCAGGTGGCCTCTGAGTACCACCCAGTGTGGCCCCCCAAAAAACAACCACCAAAAACAACAATCTAAAAATCAAAATGGTGTTCTGTAAGGAGAATGCGGTGGTTCTGTGCCGGCAGGAAGCTCTGGCTTCCCGCCCCCGGCACGGCCCAGCCCCTGGGCCTTTGCCCTTGGCCCGCTGCTGCGCCTGGCAGCATGCGTGCGGGCCGTGTCTGCCCTCGCAGCAGGGCCGGTGGCCCGCACCTTCACGCACCAGGGCCCAGGGGACGGCAGGGTGATAGTGCGCGCTTGGGGCCGAGATCCCTGCTGCCCTGTGACTTAGACATGTGCCTGTGCGGCTGCTTTGTTTTAAATCCAACCAGGTCCGCTGTGGACCGTCACGGCTTCGTAAACATCTCCCACCCCCATGCCGTTTTAAAGCTGTTTTCCACTTTGGGGTTCCATTCTGGAGCTTTCTAGGAAGTCGAGGATGTGTGAAAGCTTCCCCTCTGCAAAGTTTGGCTCCCGATGGATTTGCGCCAGGTTGAGGGGCGGAAGGCGGCCCTGGCGCCACGCGCCGGCGTCTCTGAGTTTCAACACTCCTGCCGGCGCAGGGCGAGGCCGAGTGGGGAAGCGAATCTGAGGGTTCCCTATGCACCAGGTGCATAAAGCACGGGTCAGAGCTGCCGGGGAAGAGGCCCAGGGTCTGTCGAGACCCGGGTGGGCCATGGGTGATCAGCTTAACCTTGCTTCGTCACCGAAGCTGGTTTTGGGCATCAGTGGGAAGCTGAGAGAGAGAGCGCGCGCTCAGTGTCTTTTTTTAACAGCATCTGTTTTTGCTCCGTTACCTCTCGCTCCTGGAGGGCGGCGTGCTGGGATGTTTCGGGGTGTCCGACGTTGGCGTTTGGGGAAAGCCGACCTCTGAGGGGACACTGCTGTGTGCAAGGCCCTTCGCCGTGAGCCGGCCGAGGCAGCCGTGTCAGCCCCCGCCCCCACCCCCTTCCCCAGAGGAGCCTGGCATTTACAATGGCTTGTATCTGCCAGGCAGAGGGGCTGCCGGATGCAGAGCAGGAAGAACTTGCGGGCAGGCGGCTCCTCAGATGGTTTCTCTTGGGGAAGTGTTTGCATGTTGTCATTTCTAGGAAGCTGGGAAATGGGCTCTGACTCCACAGAGTCAGCATTTTGAGAAAATGCCGTGAAAACAAGGGGACCTTAGATTTTTCACACATCAGATTTCTTTTGGTTCCCCCCAAAAATTTTAAACGAAGCCAGTGATCTCCCTGTGCCCCAGCACACGGCGAACCCCAGTCTGCACGGAAGGAAGTGAGCTGGGAGGCCACAGGGGCCTCCTCCCAGACACGAGCATGCCAGGGCGTGCTCTGGTTTGAGCAGCTCTCGGCCGCCGGTGGGGGGAGAGCAGCGGCGACCCGCTGGGTGCGCACTGGGACTTGGTTTTGCTCACATCTCCAGCGCTGGGAGCTTGAAAGACGTCCAGGGCACCCGCACAAGTCACTGGGAGCTGGGCAAGGGCAGCTGTTCGGGCCACGCACACAGAGGCTCCTGCCTGGGGTCAAGCCGGGCTCAGCATTACTGCCAGTCGGCCCCAGGCATGTGCGCTCTTGTGTACCTGCTCACCCGCCCACCCACATGCTCTGAGCACAGCTGGAAGGATGCAGTGCCCGCCTGCTGTGTGCAGAACATACTCGGCTTGGCCAAGGCCGATGGCTGTGTATTTTTTTATCCAGAGGCTGAATTAAATGATGCGACAAAATGATGTATGAGAATTAAGACAATGAAATTATTTCCGAGTGAAAAGATGTACCGGATTCGACTTAACCCGTTGGGGGCGGGGGGAGAAAAACAAAAAAGAACAACAAAGCGTTACCGTCCAACCCCCTTTCCATTTGCACTGTTGGTTTTGGACGGGCTGGGTGTGAGCTGTTTCTCTGAGCTGTCTCCTTTGTCTGAACACTTTCTTTGTGGTTCAAGTGCTGTTTTGTGTGTTGGGACCAAACAGTTGTGAAATAAACTTTACAAGCAAGCATCTAACCTGTGTCTGTGTCTACGGAGCGAGCGCTTCTGTTGGTTCTGCTTGGAGCAGGGGATCCTAACGGGGTCACGTTGGGTCTCCACCCGCCACGGTCCCCCATCTGCTCACCCCTGCATCAGCTCTGCAAGGGGGAAAGCCGGCAGATTAGAGAGGCCTGGTCCTGGTTTGCAGTCTGGGGTGGGAGGTTGGGTAGCGCTCCCCGCGCCCCCTACATAGACACGAGCAAAAGCTGTCCACACGCCTTCCCTGGGAATGCACTTCAGCTGCCTCAGCGTGGGCACTGCCAGGCTGGCCTCCCACTCACCCGCTCCTGACAGTCACACACTGCCTGTGACATTCAGTGACCACCTCCACATACTATGATGAGGGCTCAGGGGACCAGGAAGGGCAGGAAGAGGCAGTGCCCTGGGATGGCCCCCAGCAGGGGGCAGTGTGGGGGCACAGCTGTTAACTGCCCAGCTCCTAGGCCCCAGGGCAGCTGTCTGGATCAGCCCTTGGGAAGGGCCCGGCCAGTCTTTCTGCCCAGCTGGAACCACCATCACCCCATCACCCTCCCCCCCCCCCCCACTTCCTTGGAAGAAAGTTTGGTCAGGGCCACCCCAGGCAGTACTCAGGAGCTCCTTCCCACAAGGAATCCCCCCTGACCCCCGCCCTCGGAGCCCTATCCCTGCACCCCCTGCGAGGGCCTGGAAGGCCAGAGACGCAGCCTTGGGGAACTTGCTTCTCTCTCAAGTGCACTTGTTTTCGCAGCTTGCTGTGGAAAAGATCTTGGAGCTTTGCAGCATAGTCTCCAGGCTGCACACCCGCAGGAACCCTGGGTGCCTCGGGGGGTGGGCCGCGCACGTCCTGCAAAGCAGAGATGGGTGCTGTCTGGGTGGTCTGTGGTCTGTCCGGGTCACCCTGTTGCTTTCTTTTTCCAAAATAGAAGCTGATGTTTGTTCCAGAAGGGTTGCCCCCAAGCCCCTCACGAGGTCCCAGCACCAGGCAGGGCCGCTGTTCCTCACCTGGAGCACGCCCAAACCTCCGAATGGTCGTTCTGCTGCCTCGCCCCAACCCCGGGATCACGGGGTTTCACTGAGTTGTGGTTACAACAGTGTTAACATGGACTGTTTTCCTGTCAACAGGTGAAATTTGAAGAGGCTGGGGGAAGCAGGCTGGGGCTGTCCAGTAGGCTGGGGCTGGCCACACTGACCGCCCCCTAAGACACAAGGAGCGCCCGGCGTGGGATTCTTCTCCCCCGGTTTCTCACAGCTTCCTGCTGCTTCCGCTCACGCCTGAAGCCCTGAGGGCCCCCCTGTGTCTGCATGTTGGGAGCCGGTCACACCGTCTCTGAGGCAAAGCGCAGGACCCCCCCTCAACACAGCCTCATGGGGCAGGGTCCGGGCTGCTCCTGCATGGGGGGACAGGGAGGTGGCCCAAGAGGCGGCTTCAAATGGCTTCGTGGAGGAAAGGGGGTCGAGGCCTGCCTGGGAGAGACGGCGGAGCTGGCCGCCTTGGGAGCAGAGCCAGCAGGAAGGAGCCCCTTTCTCCCCTGGCTGGTAATGGGGGGGCTGCAAAGTGCTGGCCAAGGCTGCGGACCGATGGAGCACAATGTTGCCCCCCGCCCACTCTGGGGTGCTCAGCCCCTGACATCCCCAAGCTGTCTTGTTGGGGGTTGCGTCAGGCATCAAAGGGGTGACGGGTGGCATTGGGTGAGTGAGAATGACTTTCCTGCAGACCAGCAGGGCTGGGAGCACCCACCAGTGCAGTGCTGTTCGGCCACTAAAGAAGTGACCAGGTTTCTCTGCGCGGTGCGTGAGACGGTGAGCCACCCCAGGTACATCGGAGCTCAGTGATGAAGGCAGAGAAGCCAATGCCCAGCGCCTGACACACAGCTGCTCTCAGACCCAGCCCTGTCCCTCCCGTGCCAACCTGTGTGACCTTTGGCCCATCTCATGCTCTCTCTGGGCCTCAGTTTCCTGACCCGCCACAGGGGGCTGATGATTGCTCCCCGAGGCATGGAGCAGAGAGTGACAGGGTGCTCCCTGGACCCAGAAGTGCCAGTGTCCATGCCAGACGGGTCCTTAAAATCCCGCAGGAAGTTCTCATGCTCGGGGTCAGGAGGGATATTGCGGGGTTCTCCTCCACCAGACCACACTGTGCTCCCTCCTTCTCAGGTGCTCCGCATAGTGTTTTTATTTTGTTGGCTTTTGGGGCCACACTCGGCGATGCTCGGGACTTCCTCCTGGCTCTGCACTCAGGAATCACTCCTAGCGGTGCTGGGGGACCCTACGGGATGCTGGGGATTGAACCCGGGTCGGCCACATCCAAGGCAAACGCCCTCCCCGCTGTGCTATCGCTCCAGCCTCTTTGGCTCATTTTTAATCTGCTGTCCGAAGACCCTCTGAGATCCTTCGTTGCTTCTGCTGGGGGCTTAAGCACAGTGTCAGAGGGCAGTGGGTGAGAGTCAGCCGGGCCGACCTGGGTGCTCCCGATCCTTCCCTGGCCCTTCACGCTCCCCTCGTCCTCGTGAGCTGTGCTGTCGCTCCAGCTCCTCCCCCTCTTTTCTCAATGGGTGGCACGGGAAAAGCTGGGCACGCGGAGGGCCGCCCTGCATGGAGCTCGGGGGTGTGAGGCGTTCGGAAGCAGCCCTGCGACCCCGGAAGTCACAGCCAGGGAGGTGGGAAGGTGCAGGAGCGTTTCCAAGAAGGAGGCAAGACGCTGGTTGCGTTTGCGCGGCATGGGGGTCCCCCCGGCGTCAGAGCGGAAAGGGAAGGAGAAGGAGATGCTGGCGGGAAGCGGGGCGGGGCTGGCAATGCGGAAGGGCCAGCAGAGAGCAGGACGGGAAAAGCCAACAGACTCAAGAAGCCTCTGCGGCCCCAACCCTGGACGGATTCGAAGAAGCAGGGGGAGGGAATAGGGAGAGTCAGAAGGGGTCGGATCGGTGGGCACCTTTGAGAGCTTATCGCCCCGAAGACTGTGGGAGTCGTGGGAAAGAGGGCAGAACTTGTGGGGACGTCACTACTCCAAATACCAGCCAGCCATGGCCGGGGCATGGCTCCGGTGTGACCCCCCCCATGGTTCCCTGAGCATCACCAGGTGTGGCCCCCACAACGAGTAAAAACAAACCATGAGCTCTGGCAGTTGCCCATGCAAAGGCGATGGCCAGACTCCGTCGTGGGTGTGAGGTGTGGGGTCAGAGGGCCCAGAAATTTAAGAGGCGAGTGTGGAGGAAGAGAGGCAGCAGGAACAAGCCTGGGGCGAGCGCGGAGGGCACTCGCCTTACCTGGGTGCGAGCCCCAGCACCCGGTAGCCTCTCCCAAGCCCCGCCAGGAGTAAGCCCTGAGCACGACTGGGTGACACGAAACCGAGTTCTAGGGTGACAGAGCACAGCCCTGCAGAGTGACTCCTGGGGTGAAAAGTGCAGAGGAGCCGTGACAAACTGAGCCAGGGGCCCGGCGTTCCCTACAGCTCAGAGAAGAGCTCCGGATCCGTCGGCCTGAGGTCTGTTTCCAGAAGGGAGTCCGTGCACAGAAGCAGCAGCTCAGGGGGCTGTGGAGGTCGCTTGACAAAAGCAGGTGGAGGGCCAGGGCGGAGCCACCCGCAGTGCTCACCGATTCCTGCTTTGGGACCCGGGGCCCTGACGGTGCCCGGAAAGACTTGGAGACGTGAGGCCGGACCGAAGGAGGAAGGGCGAGGGCAACTCGGATGCTGGTGGTGTCCAAGGGCAGACGGGGAAGAGAGGACGCTGGCGCCCAGGCCCTGAGGACAGGGAAAAGGGCCTCCTGGCCCCGGGCAGGGGAGGATCTCCCAGTGAGTGGAGCAAGTCAAGTGGGTCTCAGACCACACGGCAGGGCCAGGGCGGCACGAGGCCGACGGCCCTGTGGGATGAGTGATGAGCAGCAGACCCAACCAGCCCTCGGTAGACGAGTGTGTGCGTGTGTGCATGTGTGCGTGTGCGCGCACATGTGCGTGTGTGTGCATGCTTCGTATCATGTGTGCATCTGTGCATTGTGCTGCCTGTGTGGATGCATATGTGTGCACGTGTAAGTGTATGTGGTTCTGGGTTTCCTACATGATAGCCACGTACCTTACCTTTTTTTAGCGGGGTGGGCACGCCTTGTGGTGCTCCGGACTTGCTCCTGGATCTGCACTCAGGGATCACTCCTGGTGAGTTATGGGGACCCTATGGGATGCCACGGATCCAATCTGGGTCAGTCACGTGCAAGGCAAACACCCTACCCGCTGTGCTGTCATTCCGGCCCCACATTCTTTCCCACTGATGCCCAGCCCCTGGCGTCTGAACCACTGAAAGGTCCTGAGACCGGGTGAGAGCCTGCCAGGAGCTAGTGCCAAACGATCCGCGAGGGTTTCCAGCTGGGAGGGGGGCGGGAATTCAAATGAAAAAACCCACAGCAACTTCCTGACATGCCCTCGGCTTTCTCAGGGGCACACGGGGACAGAGGTCACTCCCACCTTCCAGAACGAAAACAAACAGCGAAGAGCTTGGTGCTGTGTACGCAGTTTCCATTTTTATTGTCTCCAATGGATGGTCTACACAGCAATGAGTCTGGAGTTAGGCTAACTACTCGGGCCGGGCACGACACACACAGGGACAGAGAAGTCACATGGACTGTGCCCAACTGGCTGGAGCAAATGGACATCGAGTTACACAGGTGGACGTGGCAGGCTGGTTAAAATACCCCCCACCCCCCGAGGTTGGGACACACTGGGCCGGGCGCCTCTCCCGCTTTTCTGCTTGTCTCTGGCCGTCTGTGTGTCCGGCTGGTGAGCCGGGCTGCGGTGGGGGGGGACACCCTTCCGTGGCCCCCGGGCTGCACGCTTCAGCATCTGCTCTGTCTGGGGGGCCCTTTCCTCTCTGCCCTTCTTCCTCGCTCTGCGAGCCCCCTACTTCTCTGATCTCTCCTCTTCTGAACACTTGGGGGCGCTACAGCCCCAGCCCCCACCTCCTTTCCTACTCCACACCTGGAGGCAGACTTTGCCAGGGAAGGAAGAGCCCGGCGTCAGCCCCCGCCATGCTCCCACGGGTGAACCCCGTCAGACACGGAGGCCGGGAAGCTGAGCACGCACCCGGAGCCTTTTCTGCATCTCCGACAGGGGCCTGGGGCAGCCCCGGGACAGGGACAGAAAGGGGACAGGGACTGCCGTGGGGGCGCGGGGCAGGGGAGAAGAAACGGGGGATGTGTCTAACACGGGGCTGGGTGCTGAGAAGTCACGACCACGCGCGGAGGGCCACGGCCCCCTCCCCGTTCATTCACACGGTGGGCTAGAGATACGGCTGAGGTACAGAGACGGGACCCGGGGACGGCATGCTCTGGGGAGGGCCATGCGACAGTGAGGGACCCCCTATTGCTATGCTCTGTACAGTGCGGGCCGCCCCCCGGCCCCTGGCCGCAGCCACGGGGTTTTGCCTTCCATCCCTTCCGCCTTGGAGAGCTCTCGGCCCCGGTGAAATGGGGGCGGTGAAGACAAGGGGTGGGAGGGCACCCCAGCTGGGGGCTACATGATCCTGCACTGGGTGGCCCCACAGCAGTCCTTGATGAGCGCCAGCCCTGTCTTGGCCACCGTGGGCTTGCTGGGCGGGGGCTCGGCCTTCTTCTCTGACCGGGAGTCTGCAGAGGGAGAGAAGGGAGGGAGAGGGGAGGGCCGCTGAGGAGGTCCGGCCCAAGCCCACGCCCTGCACCCTCCACCCCCGCCAGCTCTAGGGTGACTCCATGCATCCACACATGGCTTTGCTTTGCTTTGCTTTCTGGGTCACACCCGGCGGCGCTCAGAGTTCCTCCTGGCTCTGCACTCAGGAATTACTCCTGGAGGTGCTCAGGGGACCATACGGGATGCGGGAGATTGAACTTGGGTCAGCTGCATGCAAAGCAAACACCCTCCCCGCTAGACTATTGCTACAGCCCCACATCTACTCCTCTGGAAGATGCTCCTGTGTCTGACAGCGTTATCTCCGGTTCTCAGGAGCACAGACATTCTCTGTGGCATCTCCTGGTCCCTCTCCTACAGGTTCGATTCTTTCTGGGCTTTCCATTTGGACCAAAAGCTCCATCGTGGGCGCTGTTTGGTCAGCCGGCTGGTGTCGGGTGCGGAAGAATCCTTCCTGAGTGGTTTCGCTGAGGTCCTGGGGGTTTCATGGGCCTTAAATTCATTTCTTGTTCCCAACTGGGGTACCTAGTAGGAGGGCTGTAAATTTGGAACCCACACTTGGTGCCTGGCACATGCTATAGGCTTGGTGGCGTGTTTTTTTTAATTTCCTGTCTAAATTTCTCAATCTCTCTCTCTCTCTCTCTCTCTCTCTCTCTCTCTCCCCTCTCCTCTCCTCTCCATCTCTCCATCCCTCTCTCTTTCTCTCTCGTTTTGATTTTGGGCCACACCTGGAAGTGCTCGGGGATCTCTCCAGACAGGTTCTGGGGACTATATGGGATGCTAGGGATCGAACCCAGGTCAGCCGTATACAGGGCAAGCGCCCTACCCACTGTGCTAACTCTCTGGCCCCTGAATTTCTCTTTTATATCCACCAGCCTGATCAGAAGGCATGCTTCCTTGCTCCTTCTTCATCCTGTTAGGTGGAGTTTTTCTGATTTCCTTTCATGATAGAGACAGTCCATTGTAATGGTCTATCGCACGGATATTCAATGAAAAAAAATCAAACACACACACAAACAAAAGAGACAGTCCATGGCGATTGCTGGATTTAGGAGGGAACTGCGTCTCTTCTGATTCGAGGAAAGTGGCCCTTCTCTTTCCTTGTCCACCCCCCACCCCCCACCCCTGACCATTCCAATCTCGATGTCCGTAAAGTCAGTTTGGAGCTGCAGAAGACGGTGGAAGCCGATTATTTTCCATCCCATCTCCTTGGGTAACAGCTTGTGTTCCCATGGCGACAGATCTGGCCAATCAAAGCTTCGAGGCCACAGGGGACACTGCTGGGCTGGAGAGGTGGGGAGAAGGGGGCAGCACTGAACTGCTCAGGAAGCTGACAGTGAAGGGGGTCCGAGAGGTGGGTGGGTAGGAGGGCAGAGGGGACAGAGGAGGGCTGGGGGTAAAGCAGGGCCGTTAGCTGGCAGCCTCTGACGCTTTTTGGTTCTTGAAGCTCTTCTTCCTGCAAATTCCCTCTTTTTGCTCACTGTGTCCTCTTTGGGGACAGTGGGAGTGGCCTTGCTGGCCAAGGGGGGGGGACAGTCCCTTCACAGCACAACAGGCCACAGCTTTATCTGCTGACGGCCTGGGAGCTCCGAGAGGGACCGTCCAAGGTAGCCTTTCCCCTGGCTTCATTCCCAGCTCTCTGCTCTGAGGCCACTCTTCTGTCAGAGAGACGTCGCGTTCCACTTTTTTGGGGGGGTTCAGCCCCCCCGATCCCAGGGCTCCCCGAATCTCAGGCCTTGCTGTTTACCTCAGTGCCCACCCTGCTCTTTCTACTCAGAGCACCAGACAAATGAAAATATCGGAGAAATGAAAATAAGAAGTGAAAATATCGGACCCCAGCCCCCATCACTACCAGTTATGGTAGTAGTTCCAAAATGATGAAGATTCCAATACAGCCTTCACCACTTCATCGCACTGTGAAGGGAGTATGACGCCCTTCTGGGCTAGTGCCGTCACAGACAGCTGTACGTGCCAAGCTGGCCCTGCTAACTCGCAGGTGGGGCTCACGCCTGAGCTCCGGAAAGAATTTTTGTCTCAGCCCTCTGGCTCTCCAAATGCTATCCTCAGGAGGAGGAGGAAGAGGAGGAGGATGGGGAGGAGGAAGAGGAGGAGGAGGATGGGGAGGAGGAGGAGGAGGGGGAGGAAAAGGGGGAGGAGGAGGAGGAGGAGGAGGATGGGGAGGAGGAGAAGGAGAGGAGGAGAAGAGGGAGCAGGAGGAGGAGGGGAGGAGAAAGGGGAGGAGGAGGATGGAGAAGAGGAGGAGGAGGGGAGGAGAAGGGGGGAGGAGGAGGAGGAGGGGAGGAGGAGGAGGGGGAGGAGGAGGAGGAGGGGGAGGAGGAGGGGGAGGAGGAGGAGGAGGGGGAGGAGGAGAAGGGGGAGGAGGAAGGGGAGGAGGAGAAGGGGGAGGAGGAGGAGGGGAGGAGAAGGGGGAGGAGGAGAAGGGGAGGAGAAGGGGGAGGAGGAGGAGGAGGAGGGGGAGGAGGAGGAGGAGGAGGAGGAGGAGGAGGAGAAAGAGTAAGGCATGCACTTACTGGCTGGAGATTTGGTTACTTTGTCTAGAGGTTTTAACTTGAGTCTCAGGAAATCAGCCATTTCCTTGTCTTCTTCTTGCTCTCTGTGGAAAGGGAGGAGAGAATCCAGGAGCCAGTGACACTAAGGCCAGCGGTGAAGTGTGTGGGACCTAGGGGAATGCTCTGTGACAAGCACGTGGATGCTGCCGTGTGCCGTGTGCGGTTTGTACATGTGTGACGTGTGGAGAGGGTATGTGGCGTGGGTGGGCTTGCACACCCTGAACGTGGTGTAGATGGTGTGTCTATGTGGTTTTGTGTGGATGGTGTGTGTGAATGACGTTTGTCTTAGGAACGCCCAGAGGGTCTTTACAAAGTCTTTCTGGAGCTGGAGTTGAGTTTCTCCTGAGTGGGAGAAAGTGTTTTCAGACCAGAAATCTGAGTGGGGTTTGTTGGGGTCTTTGTTAGTTTGTTTGTTTGGGGGCCATACCTGGCTCAAGGCTTATGCCTGGCTCTGCACTCAGGAGACCAGGACTCAAATCAGTATTGACCATGGCCAAGGTAAATGACCTACCCATTGTGCTATCTCTTGGGCCCCTGAGTGGGGCTGACTGGGACGCTGTGTTTGGGGAACATTTGCTGAGCCTTTGCCTGGCAGCAAGGCCTTGGGTATAGGGTGCAGACAATGGGTCCTCGCAGGAGCAGAGTCCCCATGGCCCAGAGCACAGGAGCCAAGAGCCCGCTCACCTCAACCGCTCCACCTCGGCATCATCCACTAGGAAGTCTCGCTTCTGCACCAGCTTGTGGATCTTCTGAATGAGCTCGTCCTCTCTCTGCTTCTGCAGCTTGGTCTTCTCTTTTTCTGAGAAGCAGAAAGCAGCATCCAAGAAACAGCAGCGTGTTACTGTGGAGAACCCTGGAGTCGCGGCCACACGGGGTGGAACCCAAACTCTGCCATCTCACCAGCTCAGAGAACTTGAGAGGCAACTGGGGCCCGTCAAGCCTCAGTGTCTTGTTTGATCAAATATACACAGCGAGAGAGATGTCAGCACGTGATATGTGCCAACCACTCTCCCCAGCCCCACCCGTGGGCAACGCTGGGTCATTGACAGTAATGCAAGGGGAGTCAGGTGTGCGATACCATTGGGCAGACAGGGGGTGCTGTGGAAGGCAGAGGTGAGGTGCGGTTTAGGCTGGGGGGGCTAGAGGGAGTTACTCTACAGTAGGAGTGAGTAGATGTATGAAGATCAGTCATACTAACGGCATCAGCCCTGTGTCAAATACGAAGGGCTACAACACCCAAGAGAAAAATCAACAAGGTCCCACCTACCTAGTTACAGACCCCATCCACCTGACAACAGGCCCCACCCATCTGCCTAGAGCCACACCCACCCGAGAACAGGCTCCTCCCACCTGCCTCAGGCCACGCCCACCAGAACAGGCTCCTCCCATTTGTCTTGGGCCACGCCCACCTGAGAAAAGGCCCCTCTCATATGCTTTGGGCCACGCCCACATGAGAACAGGCTCCTCTGATCTGCCTCGGCCCCGCCCGCCTAAGAGAGGCTCCACCCATCGTCTCAGGCCACACCCCCCTGAAATCAGGCTCCACCCATCGCCCTCAGGCCACGCCTACATGAATAGGCACCACCCCCACCTGTCTGCAGGTACCCCACAATTTCCTGCAGGCACCACCACTTGCTTAGTGATTTTGCTCCCCAGCATCCCCCACCTACTTGCCAACGAGCACCTGCAGCTTGCTGGAGATCACGCACCCAACTCCTAAATGCTCCACGTGCTTGCACATGTCATCCTCCAACCCGCCTCTGCCCTCCCTGGCCCAAGCACCATCATCTCCTCTGGGCCCTGTGTCGCTCAACTTTTGCCATGGAATCAGAGCGGCTTGGATCAACACGGCAGTCCTTCTCTTCCTCGCTGTGCGGCCCTGGGCGCACCCTCAACCTCTCTGAACACAGATAGCCAAATCTGAGGCAGAGTGTACTCGGTCACTGCCTGGTTTGTGGGGAGAGGTCACGAACAACCTGCAGCTATTGTTCTCTACCATTGTTCTACTGATTAAACACTCCCCGAGGAATATTTCCTGAGCCAGGTGCAAAGCAAAGAAATACTCATTTAACGAAGGGAGAGCAAATCTCAGGTCTGCCATGTGCCAACCGTGAATGCTTGAGGAATCGTGCATTTGCGTGGACTTGGTCTTCTCGGTTAATCTCGGTCTCTCAGACTGGGCGCTGTCTTTGCTGGGGGGCGTTGTGGTGTACAGAAGGATTGATCACTGCTAGTAACTCCCCTTCAACTGCCAGCAGCACCCCACTCCAGCTAGGACATGGCCTGGCGACGGGGCCCCTGCTGGGCAACCACCAGCTTTTTTTTTCTTTTTGGGGTGACACCCAGCGATGCACAGGGGTTACTCCTGGCTCTGCACTCCTGGCGGTGCTTGGGGGACCCTGGGAATGCTGGGAATTGAACCCAGGTGGCCTTGTTCAGAGCAAACACCCGACCCACAGTGCTATCGCACCAGCCCCCAGGGCAACCACTAGCTTTATTGTTTCCAACACCCCTGGGAGTGGGGTTCTTCTTCTCTTAATGCCTATGGGGACGGTGTCTGCACCAGATCTGAGCCCCCCCAGCTCTGAGGCTTGTAGTGGAGAGGCTCTGGGGGGTCCTTGACCAGAGTCACCTGCCCCTACAGCCAGCCTTGAGTGGAAAGGCGAGTTCCTTGCCGGACGCTCTCTTCACTCAGCCTTGAAGCACTGCCTCCCTGCCTGGCTGTGTCTGGGAGCGGGTTTTGTTTTCCCCTAAACCCACTAAATCCTCCTGGAGCCTGTCGCTGCGCCAGAGAACGCACAGGCTGAACAAGGGCTCGGAGGAGCTGATGGTAGAGTGCAGGGAAGAGCTTCGGTCTCTGCACCCGGGGGTGGGGGCTCCCAAGCGAGGCCAGTCGCCCTGGAACTGCTCACGCGGGCAGGCGGGGCTCTGAGGGGAGCTCAGGCCCGGCTCTCCCGCTCTCCGCGACTACGGCCAGCAGCGCTGGGGGTCGAACTTGGGGCTTGACTCCAGCCCTTGGACCTAACTCCCCGGCCCTTTGTTTCTACACAAAAGTGATGGGGGGGGAGGGGGGCATGTAGAGAAATAGCTCAAAGGGCTGGTGTTCATGTTCTGTGTTGCAGGAGGCCTGGATTCAGTCCCTGGCTCTGTGTGGTTTCTTGAGCACCAAGTCAGGAGTAGTTCCTGAGCACTTATGGGTGTGGGCCAATAAGAGGAAGAAGGAAGGAAGGAAGGAAGAAAAGAAAGAAAGAAGGAAGGAAGGGAGGGAGGGAGGGAAGGAGGGAGGGAAGAAGGAATGAAGGAAGGAAGGAAGGAAGGAAGGAAGGAAGGAAGGAAGGAAAAAGGGAGGAAAGAAGGGAGGAAAGAAGGGAGGAAAAGAGGGAGGGAGGAGCACAGAGAAGAAGGAAGAACAAAGGGAGTGAGGGACCGGGCTTCGATCCCTGGCAGCCCATATGCTCCTTGAGCATCTCCAGGAGTATTTCCTGAGTACAGAGCCAGGAGTAACTCCTGAGCATCACCGGATGAATCCAACCTCTGGATGATCCCCTCCCCGCCCCAGCTCCTAAAGAGGAGACACTGAGTCTCGAGTCTGGAGTGTGGCCTGGGGTCCAGGAAGCGACAGAATGAGGACCTGGCCCCAGGGAGCCGCTTCGGTCAGCTGCCAGGGAGCCTGGCAGGCTGAGGTCGCTGGAGAAGAGTCACGGGGCACAACTGCATCCCGGGATGGGGGAGCTCGGGGAGACGCTGCCCGCAGGGGAGTCCAGGGGCTACCTGGGATGGCGACCAGGCTCTGCAGCTCCTGCTTCAGGTCCATGATGGCGTTGCACAGCTGGATGTCATCCATCCTGGGGACACAGTGGACAGTGGGTCACGAGGAGTGAGCGTGTGCCTTTGTGCATGCCGCCCCGGGGCTCCCCGGGGGCTGCCATGGAAAGGGGAGCCTCTGCGAGCACACACGCTCGGTGGACACACACACACACACACACACACACACACACACACACCCCTGAGGAAGACTTAGGAACACTGCCTTTTGTCCCTCTTGTGACTAACAGCTCCTCCCACCCAGCACCCTGCCCAGGGCTCCTCATGCTGGGATTCACTTCCTTAATGGCAACAAGTTTGGGTTCTCAAGTTCATCCATTTCTCCTTCCTGCTATCTCAGAAGAAGAAAAATCAGAATGCAGGGGCGGGAGAGAGAACAGGAGTCAGGACCTGCCCTGTGGGTTAATCCTGGCACTAGCGCCACTGTCCGGAGGATTCTAGCAGTGACTGGACAGACACTTGGCTTAGCCTGGCACTGAGCCCAGGGAGCGTGAAAGATTCACAGCCTCGCTGGTTGGGGAAACGGAGACAATGTGGAGGGAAGGGACAGGATTGGACTGGAATACTGAATGCCTGCGGCAAATAACCCACGTGTTCAAATACAGCAGGGGGCGGGGTGGGAGTGACTTGGGCAGACAGACTGGGAAGGCCCCCTCCCGAGGCACCCGCAAAAGCCAGCCCTGCAGAAAGTAGGAAAACAGGAACTGAGGCCTAATAGGACCCTCACTCCAGCAACAGACCCAAAGGAGCTCCTGCAGGAACAAAAGGCCAGGAAAGGAATTTCAAAGAAGACCATCACCACTCCCATCCTGCCTGGTAACCTCCTTAGCAACGGACTTTTACCTGGGAAGAAGCCCCACGTGGGGGCAGGTTGGAGAAACCCTAGAAAGGCCACCTTGAACAAAGGAAGGGTTTGTATATGCCGCCCGAGCCCATGTGCTCCTTGCACCCACGTGGCCGAGCACATGTGGTGCCCGAGCACATGTGTCACCCGCATCTCCCCTCTTGAGATGTGTACTTTCGTGCTTTTCTGTCTAATGCTAGGATTTGTGTAGGGGCTCTCTCTCTGCCCTTGGAGAAGCCTGTGTTCTCTCTTGAGTACGTTACTCTCTCTCTCTCTCTCTCTCTCTCTCTCTCTCTCTCTCTCCCCTCTGCACCTAAAAATCCTCCAAATAAAATCTATTTGTTTCACTGCTTGTCTACACCTGAAATTCCTTTCTGCGAGGCGAGACAAGAACCCAGTAACCCTGGGTCCCGGGTGGCAGAGGTGGGTGGGGAGAAAGTGACCGTCTTCTCCTCCCCGCTTCAAGTAAATCACCCGTGGGGCCCGACATCAGGAGGAAGAGTCACAGCCTGGAAGATCTCACGCGGAGGAACACGGGAACACGAGTGATTCTGAATCACAGTCCTTATGAATAGGTGTTTGGGGTTTTTTTTATTTGCTTTTTGGGCCACACCCGGTGAGGCACAGGGGTTACTCCTGGCTCATGTACTCAGGAATTACTCCTGGCGATGCTCGGGGCACCATATGGGATGCTGGGAATCGAACACTGGTCAGCCATGTGCAAGGCAAACACCCCACCCGCTGTGCTATCGCTCCAGTCCCAGATGGGGATTTTTTGTTTTGTTTTTCTTTCTGGTTATTGGGTCACACCTGGTGATGTTCAGTGGTGACTCCTGGCTGTATGTATACTCAGGACTTAACTCCGGGCGGTGCTCAGGGGACCTTATGGGATGCCAGCGATTGAACCCAGGTCAGCCACCTGCAAGGCAATTGCTGTGGTTTCTCTACAGCCCCTGAATCAGATGTTCTGTAACCTGTAGCCCAGGACAGCTTTACTGGTTCATGTGTGTGGTCTGAGCTCCATTGCTGATGAAAGTCGCGTTGATAACATGTCAAGCACCCAGTCAGATTGACATGAGAATCACCCAATGCGTAACTAACACTGCTGCTCGATATTTAAATATTTCACACCAAGCACTTTTGCAGCTAGGCTGGAAATTGACCTGGGTCCTGTGACACCATCCCTGCACCGTTAGCTGCTTCCAGGAGAACCCGGAGAGCCGGATGAGGCAGGAAGGGAAGAAGCAAGGCTGGCCCCGTCTCTCTGCCTCTGCGCCTTTCCTGCGGGGCTGCGGGGAAATTGTTCACTTGACCAGTTTGGGGCATGTCTGCATCATTTCTAAATGATTCATCTCTGTGAGAATAATAGTGCTGCTGCTTTCCAGAGTTTCCTTGAGAATGACACGGTCAGGAGCCTGATGAACCCCAGCAGGCGCTGCTGTGTGGACTCCGAAGGAGCTGGTCAGGGCAAGGAGCTGAAGCTTTGGAAAGAATCTATTTGGCTCCTTATCTCAGAGGCTGTGTGTGCGTAGGCATGGTTGGGAAGAAGGACGGTTTGGTCTAGGGAGCTGAAATGCTGAAGCCGGGGACAAGCATTGAGGAAGCGTCTCTCTGTCTGTCTGTCTGTCTGTCTGTGCATCATCCGGATCAAAGAGAGGCTTAGACAGTGGGTCGTGAAGGTTTACTGATGAAGACCGCAGGGGGTGTTGGGGTGCTCAGCCCTGCTATATCTCACCCCCGGCCAGGCAGGCAGTTCTGTTTTGTTTGTTTTAGCTTTTTCTTTGGGGGAGGGGCGATGCTCAGAGGTTACCCCTGGCTCTGCACTCAGGAATTACTCTAGGCAATGCTCAGGGAACTCTGTGGGATGCCAGGGATGAAACTGGGTTGGCCGTGTACAAGGCAAACGTCCTACCTGTCTTATTCTAGTTCTAGCCCCACATCCAAAATTTTTGACTCCCTGTCAATTCCTGGGTTCTTTCTGACCAACAGGGAGTTCACAAAGGTCCGACATAAAGTTCTACTCAGAGCTTAGGCTCACACGGAGGCTAAGCAAGGGGCAACATCTGAGCCAAAAGGCCAGACAAGGGTCTGCAGGATCCTCACATTCTCTGCAATCTTAGGATTCTCTTGTCAATCTTAGGGTTCTCTTGTCAACCCTAAGAAATGTGAAGGGCCCAACTTTCAGTACAGGGGTCCACACAACAAACCCTTATCTTCAACTTCCTCTAACGTGGTTCTCTCTAACACAAACACCCAGAGTTCCTACAAAAACCCCACACAAAGAGCCAGGCCTGTGCCAAATCCCACTCCAACTAGACCATTCCTGTTCCCTTCTCTTCTACTTTCCAGTAAACTGTTCTGCTTTCCAACTCTGAGTCTGGGCGCCTTTACGACTCCGTATTTTCATTCTTGATCCTAAGAACAGTGGATGCAGAGAGACAGCGGTCGGCGCTTCTGCATCCAGTGATTGAGGACACTGCAAAAGCAGGAGGAAGAAACTGCAGAAGTTCCCTGAGTGCCGAGGAGAAGGAAAAGGCCTGGACTCGGCCCGTATCTGTGTAGGACTCAGGCAAGGCCTTTGATGAAGCCAGGGAGGATGGTCCTGGAGCATTTCACTCCGCGGGGAACATGAATAGCCAACACAAGATGTGCAGTAAACAGCAACTCACTCCTCCCTGGGGCCAGGGTGGGAGTGGGAGCGCTGGTGATGACAAACAGGAAAGGGTGCTTGTGGGAGGAATGGGTCGAGGGGTCATTTATTGGGGCGAGAACAACTGGCGGTGAATCATTTGCTCCTGGAGATATACATAGCTGGATGGCCCTGAATCCTGCCGGTATTGTCAACCGCTGCGGAGTCGGAAGAGGGGGCGGTGGGGACGGGAGGGGGCGACAAAGGCAGGAGAGATTGAAAAGAGGGAGATGGTGACTCAGGCCAGAAGTGTCCCATCAAGTCCCCCAGTGGTTCAGTCTCCTGGGGCCCCTGGGTGTCGCTCCATCAAATCCTTCAGGAGACACACCCCCAGCCTGGACGGACGTTGCCCACCCCACCCCCCATCATCCCGGTCGGCTACCCCGCAGTGACCTCGCGTGAACCCCGAAGCAGGACAAGTCTGTTTGAAGCTGTACCGCCCTGTCTGTGGGGGCGAGAAGCCGGATGGCTCATCGTCTTCCATAACAGCTCTACAGGCCCACACACTCCCACGGATCAGTAGAGGAGCGGTGGCACTCAGGATGGCCGTGGATGGCCGGAACAGCTTCACTGGGCCTGTCGCGGCCACAGGAACTGGCCCCAGTTGGCCATTCTCTGGCCCCGGAGCACCACTAGGAGTGAGCCCTGAGCCCAGAGCCCAGAGTTAGTTCAGAGGGTCCCAGAGCACAGAGCCCAAGTGGAGGTTTCCATAGTGAACTCTTGCAACCACTTACACTGGTGCATTTCAAGTTTATTTTATTTCAGTGAATTAAAAGAATCGCTGGAGAGGGCCTGGAGCGACAGCACAGCGTGTAGGGCGTTTGTTTGCCTTGCATGCAGCTGACCCGGGTTCGATTCCCAGCATCCCATATGTCCCCCGAGCACTGCCAGGAGTAATTCCTGAGTGCAGAGCCAGGAGTAACCCCTGTGCATCGCTGGGTGTGACCCAAAAAGAAAGAAAAAATAGAATTGCTGGAGAGTCATGCTTTACAATGAAAGGGCCAGTCATGGTGAAGGGACGGGCGTTAGAAACTGAGGCATAAAACCCAATCATGAACAATTTTGTGACTTTATATATCACTGGGATTCAATTTAAAAAAAAAGTTTAAAAAAATTAAAGTGCCTGTCATAGAGAAAGTCAGGTTAACCTTTACAAGGGAAGAGCAAACTGTTCGCCAAGGCACTGAAGCCAGTTTGCCTTACCTTAATCAGTCTTTCTCTTCTTCCAAGCCTGTAGAGCATTGCTTTTTTAGATCACATATCCAGATGGAAAGTTCTGGATTGTTCTGGAAATTTCTTACCCAGAGTTCTTTCAGGAAACAACAACAATCAAAAAAGCATAGAATACAGATATAAGAAGCCACTTATAAGAGTTGGCTTGCTGGCAGCTTGCGGCAGAAAAGCGAACGGACTATGCATTAATCCACGCCACCATGCCTGCCCGGAGGGGAAAGGGTGTTGCTCCCTTCCGCCTTTTTCCCTCTGGA